CTTGAGAAGCCCGGTCTAGAGCTAACCTACACTTTTCCCGCAACCACCACAGAGCAGTTTATTCATGCACTTGTTGTCAAGGGATCATCTGTAAATGGAATTTCATATTCCTCAACTGACCCTGATTTGAGTTACAACCTCATTGAGGACTATGAGGGAAAAGGGGGAGTAAAGCTTTGGGGAAACAGGAATTACAAATCTGAATCTCTTTCTGATGGTGACGAGATGTACAATGGTGGAATATTTTTGCAGCCAACTTTGCACAGAGRAATTCCACCAGGCACARTAATCTCATTGACTATTGATCCCTCTGGTGATGAGCCTGTTGTTGTGTGTGCTTGGGTGGATATACATACTAATGTGTGGCATGGTGGCTGGCTTTCYTCCCTGCCCCCTGATGGTTTTGTTTTCTCAGGGCAAATGAATTGGATTGGTTATCGAAGTGAAACCTTCACAGGTCTTTGGTATTGCAAGGATTTTAACCATTGATATGGGTTATGATTACTTTGGATTTGAGTGTCCAATGGGTGACAAAGTTCATTGTCAGTGCTATTCTGAAACTCCAAATGGGCCTGAAGTAGTAGACTGCAAGTCCAGGGTTGGCAGTGGGGGTGACAAATATTGAACAGGACCTGCAATGATAGATGGACTCTCCCTTGGAGGAACGGATATTGGCTCTATGTTCAAGACCAAACCATAAATGATTTCTTGCATCACTTCTTTTTGTTGTCTGTAGGATATCAGATCGTGGGTATGCTTCATATTCGATACACACGCATGGCACGTATCTTTGATGAGTAGAGTCACTCCATCCTATGGATCCATATGATCAATATGATTCATTCGACTCACTAGCGTGAGTAAGTTGACTCATTTGATCCACACATCACTCCATCTTCATTTTAGATTTCATAGTTCGTAGATAAGAGCATTGACTCCCTTTTTCTTCTAGCACACGATTTACTTCACTGTTGGATCTTGATTTTTCTGATGAGAGCTTTGCTGACCATCCCTTTTACTAGTATGCAAATATGATCCAATTGAAAGCTCTACTTGTGTTGCATTGTTTATGGTTGCTGGTTTGCGTCAAACAAATGCCCCCATAGTATCAGATGATGAAAGAGCAAACAAGAGCAACACCTCAATTAAAGTTTAAAAAAATCTCTGTATGCATATCTGTGCAAAGATACAAGGGAAAAAGGCACCAAACGCAGAGTTCTTTGATTGCCGTCATTAACTAACCATTCATGCACTACCCCTTGTGCACTAACAATATAAAATAACTTGTATTTTTGTATGACATTAGCTTGAGATCTATTAGACACAAAGCATTTCTGCTCGTTCTATTCTTTCTAGTTCATCTGTTGCTTCCTTTATCCCTGGGTGGTCTTGGTCTAGATTGGAATTGCTATATATCTCTATAGCACTTTTTACCGCTATCATTGCGCGATCAAAATCACATTTGCGAAGATTCATCACACCAATTTGCACTTGAATCCATGCAATCGATGGGTGCATGCAGCCAACAGCTGTTTTGGCAACAGGAAGTGCTTCCTGAAAAAGTTTGTTGGCATCGACAAAATTACCTTTTGCAACCAAACAACTGGCTTTTGTTGTCATTGTTAGAGCCACATCAATGTGATGATCGCTGAGCGATTCAACTCTAATGTTCAACGACGCATCTATGATATGAATCGCTTTCTTCAATCGACCTCTCTTCAACTGGATTTTAGCGATTTCGTGGAGTGTTGATGCTTGTTGTGGATGATCCATTCCGAGAAATGGTAACCTCATATTATAACAATCTTCAAGAGTGCGAAGTGCGTCTGATAAATTGCCTTGTCTTGCTTGCGCACAACCGATACTGTGTAGAGTTTCTGCTACGTACGGGTGCTTCTCTCCATGTATGCGTTTCTGCGCAACAATAATATTGTTATATTCTTCAAATGCAGATTTTATTTCGGAGTCATAAACTGCGTGGAGATTTCCGATTTCTCTTCTGGTGCGGAAGGTTGCTGGATGTTCCATGCCGAGTAATTTGCTTTGTATATCCAATGCATCACGAAGGTTGGACATCGCTTCATCGTAGTTGCAAAGCGCAGCATAAACGAGACCGATGTGGAAGAGTGTTGCAGCGACTGTTTCATGCTCGAGACCGACTTGGCGCAGAGTACTGAGCGCATCTTGAAATAATTTGAGAGCTTTCGTGAAGTGTCCTAGGGAGTACTGCACGCTACCTGCCAAAACCCTTGCCATGGCAAGCTGGACATCGTCACAACCTAATTTCATTTGGATACCCAATGCTCTATCGTAGTAGTCGATTGCCTCGAGGTACATACCTGCACGGCAGCTTAGCATTCCAAGGCTGTTTAAAGTTTCGGCAACGTCCTCCAGATCATCAGAGTTCTCGGTCGCATTCAAAAACTGTAACTTTTCTTCGAAGAATGCAATTGCCATGCGGTACGACCCTCTATCTTCGTGAGCACGACCAATAACCTCCAACATACCGCCTTCAATGAACGTCTTATAGCCATCGTTTTGCTGTGATTGAATATTGGCCAAGGAATTGCGTTCTTTGTAATAAACAGCTCCAATTTGTATTAGAGTGTCAGATACTAGGGGATTCTTCACATTTTCGCCACAGCATTCCTTCACTATGCGAAGTGCTTCTTTGTGTTTATCCATTGCCAGATCAAATTCTCCTTGACGAGCCAATACTTGCCCGCAGTTGTTAAGATTTCTTGCTATTTCTTGATGAAAGTATCCATAGAGTGACCCTTGTATCCTCCGAGCTTCGTAATAGCACGATAAGGCGTCCTTATATCGTTGTTCTCTGCAGTGCACTTCAGCCATCAAATTCAATGATTTGCAGGCTTCCGGAAGATGTAGAGTAGATTTTTGGATTCTCAGAGCTTGATGAGAGTATAACAAAGCGTCTGCAGAGGCCCTTTTCTGCATGTACAATTTTGCTAGATCAAACAGTAACATCGCAACAGAAATATCTTCTTGGCCATTTTGCGTTCTCGAACATTCCACTTGAAGTTTTTTCTGGTGTATTTGAGATTCTAAACACAGAGGCTCGATGTCTCCAACATTTGTCACTTCATTCCATTCATTTTGTCCCGATGATTCAAGTAGATGCCTGCGAGATTTTACTGGTACTTCCATGGGTTTCGTTATTGAAATCTTTTTTCCTGAATCAACAGTTGCTACCTGAGCTTTCGATTCCTTCGAGAACGAATCTTTTAAAAGAGAAAAATCGTCTTCATCAAGTTCATCCAATTCGGATTCATCTTCAGAATCAAAATCTAGCGGACGCGATTTAACTCTATCGTGAATTGCCTTTGCCGACAGAAATCCCTCAGCAGCTTCAACAGCCTGATTTACATAATTCGAAGGAAACCAACCTTCGAGGCCTTCTGATGAAACCCCCCACCACCAGTGTCCATTTTCACTCTGTTTCTCTTTCTTCTTCGAGAGCATTTCGTACTCTCGAAATGTGAGTTGTGAAACTAATGACCTATCGTCGTCGGGTCCACCTCGAATATCGATGTACGATATTGGGGCCTCTTTTGAATTACACGACTCTTCGTCTAGTTCGTTTTGAGACCTCCTCGTAGGCATAGATTGACGGACCTCCTTCTCTTCATCAAGAGGAACGAGTCGATTGCTAGTAGTAGATCTGCTCTTACTTCGTGATCTTCGAAATGGACTTGACAGAGCCTTTACAAGACGACTTCTCCCAGTTCTTATCGACTGTTTATCGGAAATTTCAGCATAGCATTTCTTACCCCGAGAGACCTTGTCATCAATTGGATTTTTCGGCGATATCATTAGAAGTGGAAGGTGTATTGATGTCTGGGCTGCGACAGATTTTCCTGCTGGATTCAGAAGAGCTGTTCGGGAATCAGCACTGTTCGACGTCGAAATTGGCGTATCTTCAAATCCACTTGCTTCGGTTTGTGTTATGATAGGACGTTCTTGAAATCTAAAACGGGGTCCTTGTTCCGCGGAGCTCTCGTTCTCTTCAGCTTCAACCTTAGAATCCGTGGTAGGTCCTGTATCGTGCATCTCAAGAGTCTCAGCGCCATTTTGAATCGGTTCAATCGACTCAATTTTGTTGCTAGGCGATGAAGTACTTGAATATATATCTGCAATATCCATTTTTTCGGAATAAAGCTCGTTAGTAGCAACAGATTTCGTACTGACTGAAGTCTGTTTTACTGGGGAACCACCGAACGATGAAACGGGTTCTTCATCTGAAGTTAGCGGAACGTCATCCGAAATATACTGTATTCCATAGCCCAGTGTCTCAGCCCCTGTTGACAAAGACTTCAGAGGACCTTCTTCTTCCTTTTTTTCGTCGTCGATCAATTCGAGGTGTTCTTCTAGGTCATTTTTGCAATTCAAAGTGCTGTTTCCAGATATATTCGGATCGATATTAATTCGTTGAAGATCGATATCATCACCACATTCATAGTCGACGTTGGCCATCAATTTACTTAAATCTTCACTCTCATCGTAACTTGTATCAAACGCTTCGTTTTCTTTGACGCTTTTGGAGGGATCGAGTGTTGATCCAAAAGCACTTTCTCCATCTTCTGTGATTGCTTTGAGACAATCCACTCCGGTATTACGACAATCCATCAGATCGGCGGCAGCATCAACACGTTCAGAGCTGTCTCCTTCCGTATCTCCGTGATCGCGTCTTTCCCCCAAGAATTTGACTTTCTTGAGCAATTCGAAAGCACTTGCATCTTCTCCATCAAACAGTTCAAGACTCAAATACAACGCATCTGATGCAGCATGAATAAACCCTTGATGAAGGTACAGCTTTCCAAGTTCCAATTGAATCCTTGCCTGATCCTCTCGTCTCTCGCTTTTTGATAGTAAGCTTTTCAACCAGTTGATTGCATCGGGGATGCGATCTAATTCATTGTGAAGATCCATAATACTAGCAAAAACGTCTTCGGGAATGCTAAAAACGGCATCCTTCAAATTAGAGCTGTTTTCCTTGATTTTATTATTCTTCAACGAAATGTCCGCCGTAGCCTGATACAAATCGAGACCCCCCTCAAGGTTGCCCTCAAGGACCATCACTCGCGCCAGCTGTCCAAGAGTAACAGAAACCTCATAGGATTCATTCCCATGTTGTTTTGATTGGCAATGCAAAATATGTTCCCAGCATTGCATGGCTTTTTCCCAGCATTCTAAATCTTCTTGCACATATGCGACGCGTTCTAGTTTCACGATATCAGTGCTTTCGGAATGGTTCTTCCAATAGAAATCAGAAAGGGCTCGCAGTATTTGCAAGATTTCTTCTTGTCGCTGCACGGTGGATTCGATTTTGAAATCGTTTAGTTTTCGAAGGACGGATAACGTTTCTTTGTATGCAACAATGGCGTCTTCGAGTTCTCCCTTTTCCATATAAAACTTCCCCAGCGCTTGGTACGAGGTTACTAAGAGCTGCCATCTCAATTCTTGCGGCAGTATGGAAAAATGAATCCTTTGGAATACGATATCGTGGTCCGCCGGGAATCGTGGTTGTTTGTTCGAAGAGTTGTCTCTTTTTACGTTGCTATCTTCAAGTAATTCTACAGCTTCTTCGTGGCATTCCACAGCATCGTCGATTTGAGATTGGTATTTGTAATGCAAATGCGCTCTGGCATGCAGAGTTTCAACAATAAGCTGTAACAGGCAAACTTGGCATGAATAGATAGACGCGGAAGAACAAGATGCCGAGGACGCAGCTGTCGATAACGATCCAGCACCTCCCGATCGGACATAGCTTTCTATAATCGATCTCGACCGTAGGTATACGTCTTGGGCTTCGGTAAAGTAATCCGCTGCCATGGAGTAGTCACGCAATTTCTTTGCCAGTGCGCCAAGGTTGAAACAAGTTGCTGCAGCATTCACTAACTCCACGATCGTGGTCTTTGTCGATTCTGTCCTGTAGTCTTGGAGAGCCAGCTGGTAATATTCCAAGGCCTGTTGGTATTTCCCCTGTCTGATCGACTGGGTAGCTAGATTGGAGAAGGAACTTACAACAATTTTGTTGTTGCTATCGGCGCAGCTGCCTCTCGTTGTTCCACTGTTTTTGCTGTGACAACTTCTCGTGTGACTCGAATATTCATGGGAAGTGATACTCCCCGTAGTACTACAAGTTCGCGCCACATGCAGTTGTTGCTTCTGCTTCTGCTTGTGTGCTTCGGTTGGAAATAAGTGCATTCCGTATGTGGGAGATTTCAGCTTGATCTCGTTAGATAGGCTTTCTGACTTGTTCTGGTTGATATCTTCCTCGGTTTCTCCATCATCTCTACTCGTATCAATCGATAGCATATTGCTGAACAAGTTTCTATACGAGTATAATGGGATCAGTTGAGTTGTGCCGCACTCCAATACAACCGCCACTTGTTTGTATTTCGTGCCGTTCCGCTTATTCCTCCTATCACTTTCTTGATTCTTGGTCAATCCGTCGCTAGTGTCTATGAACTTTCCCTTGTTCGCTTTGATCGATAATTTGTTGTGTTAACCCAGGTATTCAACGATTGTATTCATTCCAACACGAGGAATTGGAAGCGTAGGTTTCAGTCTGATAGTCGTATGCTCGAACCGCTCGGTAAACGTGGTTTATTATTCGGTGAAGTCGCACAATTCTACTCGATTTGAGTCTCGAGTGAGCAAACAATTGTTAGAGTGTTGTTGAAAGCTACTGGTACTCGTGCCAAAAACCGGAAGTCGGAAGAGCGTCGGCGGCAGCTTGTGGTCTCGATACAGGCATGTAACTGCCGAAACCTATCCGAAATAATCTTCTGTAACGTGCTATCATTTCGCAAAACGGTTCAACGCTTGATAACCGCGAGTCGTGCTATGTCAAATCGCTCATCCGAGCAGGCATAGCCTTGATAGTACTACGAGTTTCATAACAAGAAACTGGGGTCGCGCAGCGTGCAAGTGCTCTCCACTTAAGACTTACTGTAAAGTGTTAAAACAAAGTTATCAACTTTGAATCCAAGTTGTCAACTTCTGGCCCAAGTTGCCAACTATTGTACGTAGACGTACGTACTATTAGTACTACTAGCCCTGCATCGTGTCGCGCTGGCTGGCCAACAGCTGCTCACCGGGGGGAAGCAAGAAGAAGCAAGATTAGCTGTTTTGGATGGATCCTAGTACATTGCTGTACAAAAAATGCTGTAGAAAATCATGGATCAAGGTAGTTTGGCTTGAGATTTTGGTCAAAATAGAAGGGTTTTATTGCGCGTTCAAAAATTTACTTTGTCCTACTACTAGCGTCTTGACCTTTACCTGCCTCCTCCACCGTGCTGATACAGCGTTGCATGCTAAATTACAGTACTGTAAACTGTTCTTTCATTCCATCGAAAGACTACTCGATTCAAAGCAACTGACCATGGGAATTGCTCCATTTCAAGCACTTCCACTCACTCTTTTCTAATGTAAGTGGTATCACTGGATAGCTATCTTTAATTGTCAATTGAACAAGCCTTGAACTGTAGCAAAGGACCCAGTAGAAGTATTGTTTTAGTGTGTTACAGTAGCGACTCTTTTTCACGACAATGTGCTTCTTTTTTTCCGACGTCAGCAGTATGAGCACAGTATGAGCAACAAAAACAACAAGAAGAAACCCTCAGGTGCCCCTGTCCCCAGCCTTCCACTCCTCACTCAAACTAACMCACTCTATCAAGCAGCCTATTTGGCCCTGGAGAGGAAGAAGTTCCTCCAACTTGCAAAGAAGAAGCAGCATCTTTTTGCCATCCAAACCATCAAGGAAAGGGATGTTGAAGCACTCTTCCCAGGAGATGAAGCCAAGGGATTGAGACAGGAGATGTGGCTCCTCCATACTGATATTGTCTCCACTGGCCTAGGGAAGAACAAGCGGGAGAAGGCATTGAGATCTCACTATGCTTCTTCCATCCTTGCTTCAATCTAGTATGTTGCAATGGAGATGAGGAAGGGGATGGATTTGCCTACCCTGGAGCAATGATACAACAGCTCTTCCCCTCTTCCGGTCCATTGCTAAAGATGTCATGCAAGCCATGGATAAACAGGAGGATGAGGACATAAAAAAGTTGAACAAGAAATCTTCCATCAAGCAACAAAAGTATGGGAACAGGGAGCAAGACAAGATCCCCTTTGATCCATCCAAGCTGGAGAAGGCTCCTTGCCCTCAGTGTGCTGGATGTATGGCTTGCATGGCTATCACCCCAATCAACAAAGTGAACCAAAAGAACAAAGAGAACTGGGACAAGTACATGGAAGAGGTGGAGGAATACCAGCAGAATGGAAAAAAAAAGCCAAGATATCCACCATCAGAAGGACACCAGTGGATTGGTTGCTGGGTGTACAAGCTCCAGTGTGGCTACCAAGACGATGGAGGCAACTGTCCCGAATGCCAAAAGGCTGCAGGAACTAGCAAATACCTCTCGCATGGTGCTGATGGAAAGCCAGCTTGCTCTTGTCCTATTTGCAATAGCAGCTGTGATGCTTTGTTCCTCAGGGGGAACAGGCACAAAGCTGCTGGCAATGCCAGGGAAAAGAAGGAGGCTGCTGCCGCCCCAGCAGCAGCAGCAGCAGCCAACATGTCCTCTTTACCTCAGCTCTTCAGCATGTATGTCACTGACTTGTTGCAGAATGGTGTGATTGATGCAGCTGCTCAAGCAAATACTGCTGTGGATGATCCAGTTGCTGCTCAAAATTCTTTTGCTGTTGCAGCTCACAGATTGCTCACCAATCCTGATGTTCAGGGGAATATGGCAATGAGGCATGCCATGCAAGGAATGGGTCCAATGGGGACTGAGATCAGGGATGGGCTATCATTTGATGCTCTTAGGAAGGGGAGGACTGTAGGGGATTTGGCAGTAGGAACAAGGGGATTTGGTGTCCCTAATCCAAGGGAATTACAGCAGCAGCTGCCTTGTCAGCAGGCCCTTGTTGCTCCCCAGCAGCCGCCGCCACAGGCTCGTCCTACTGCTGGTGTGAGACCTGGACCTGCTACCTTTAGCCACCAGGACATTAGGCATTTTAGGAATAAGCTGTCTCCTGTTCCTGATAGGACTGATGATACTTGCTCCCCCCTTGAGGTTGAGCTTGCTAGTGCTGTTGCTACTGTGTGTCCTTGGCCTGTAGTTGCAGTAGCAGCAGCAATGCCTCCTCCAGCTCCTGTTTCTACAGTATCCAAGAGATCCTACAGCACTAGATGATCTTCCAGCTTGCATCCTATCAGTATCCTTGATAGCAACAGTGATAGCTCTGGATTCCTCTCCAGCTACTACAGCACAGGCAATATCCAGCAGGATATCAAACCAGTGGTGGTGAAGTCCGAGTTCAAGCTTCCTGGTCCGTTGCCCAAGCATCACAAGGGCTCAGCTGTTGCAGCTACTCCATCCTTTGCAAGGAAGATCTGGAAGGAATCTGTCAAGCAGTCTCGTGGTAACAACACCCCTTCTACAGAGGCTGCGCTGGATCTGTTGTCTGTACAGCTCACTGCTGGGGACACTAGCACTCCTGAAGCAATGGCACTGAAGAAGCAAGCGCAGGATATGGAGAACATCTGTCCTAATGTCCTTGGTGAAGTTTGCTAAGCGCCAGCTCTTTCCTAATAGGGGAAAGGATGCTGTTGCTGCTTTGAATCCCCCTGTGAACAAGCGTTTGTCAGCAGCAGCGAGCACTGGCTTCAAACGCCCAGCAGCACGCCGTGGTTTGGGCTTGGGCTTGGGTCTCAAGCAAGTTACCAAGCGTCCAGCTTTGAGCAGCAAGGCGCCAGCTGCTCCAAGCAAGAAAGCAAGCAGTCCTGGCGACTTGCCCAGCAGCCAGAGCTCTGCTGGTTTTGACTATGGAGACAGTGATTGATTGCTGGCTCATCTTTCTTTCCTACGGATGCTGAATACTGAAAGCATTGATTCAAATGCTGAGTGCATTGATTGCTAGTGGTGGTTCTTTTCCTCCTTTTTCTCCACCAATAGGATGCCCTCTTGCTGTCTCTTTTGTACAAACAGAGTAGCTTGCGCGTGCTGTTGTAATCCCTTCCTGATTGCTGTTGATAGAACGCCAAGTAGTACCTCCTTGTTGAGGTAGTACTACTATTGTAATAGTATAGAGACAATATTAGTTTGTAAAGCAACTAGATTGCAGATGCGCTAAACTGTAGGCCCAGGACAAGCCACGTGGTCAGCAAGCTAGCTCTTGGGGTATTGCTCAAGTCTATTGCATCTACTCTTGGTAGCTATGATTCCTACTAAAGAACTGGCTGTATACAAATAGTACTGCTATAGATAGATGAAGGAGCTCACGTTGGATCCATCCCTCTTAAGCTTAAGTATGCTGGTCAATCGATTCAACGGACTGTAATTCAATCCATCTAGTCAATTTGCAAATCGGTTGATTGAGCATCCACAGAAGGGGCTTGAAGCTGCTCCAGGGGACTCCTGGAATCGAGCCTGTCCAGTAGGATTCAATTTTCATAGGCCCAGAAGGAGGTGACTCGCCAGCAGGCCAGTTGCTAGGGGGTTCCTCCAGTCCATTGCAACAACTCAGCGAATCCAGCTCACTTCCTGGAGACCATCAAGCTGCTGTTGTTGCTGTTACTGCTTTCTAATATGTCCTAGGCTGGTACACCCCATCCACAGTGTATCCACAGTGATCAAAGGTTGAATCAAAGGGAGCAAGTGACCTAAACGACTCAGTTCTAATGGCGTGCTCAAGATCTGCAGTGGTCCAGTGAGGCCTTGCCATCTTGCTTACAGCACCAATTAGATCACAGATCTTGTACTCAATGGAACCATACTTTGGCTGGTAAGGAGGCCTCAAAACAGAGCCAAAGACAAATTTCTTGGCTGCATATACATGCAGTGTAATATCAGGAATGTATTGCAAGAGATTAGACTTCAAAACATTTTTCTGACATTGCATTACCATAAACAGGTGATGTTGCTAGCACATGGGGTTGAAGCACTTGGAGTCATGAGAGATAGTTCTTGCCAAAGTATTGAAAGTCAGGATTAGGGAGACTGTATTGGGAATGAAAGATATTTTGATTGGAATCAAAAAAGTTTTATAAGGTGAGGTTGAATTTTGATGTCAGACCTATAGAGTTGGTTGGTGCCCTCCTTGGGAGGGCGGGGGAGATTGTGTTGGTTTGACATTTTTTGTGAATTGTGGCTGAATTGAATTGAAAAATCAAACAATAATTCTTTTGTCAGTTTTGCTGCAAATTGAGTCACATGGGCTACTTGCACAAGGAAAAAAGACTGGAGACCTCCACAGTGGTAGTGTTGTCTGCTGTTTAAAGTACTAATTGTACAATAACAAGGTTTCAATAAAAACTAGGACAGCCAGGACCAAAGCTTATGGTTTTTGATAAACAAATTTTTGACAGTACTGGTTTACTGATGGTTTGTTAAAATGAGAGGGGCTACAACAACGTGTGTTTGGCTGGTAAGAAGAAAAAAGAAGAAACTGATACTTAAAACAGGTGGCCGTTATAAACATTGGAAAAACTGGGAGTGATCCACAAATCTATGTATCCCAAAGCATTCACCACTATGCACAACCAATCTCACTTGCTTTATGAACAGACAAGACCCAATGGGATTGCTGTTGGGACAGATGCAACAACCACAACATAAATACAAGGGATTCAGCATGTGATTTTGTTAAAATGGGTGAGTATTCCGAAAAAAACATCATGACGGCATTTGAGAGGATGCAATCACTTTTTGTGAAAGAGGTTGTGTATGATGACCCCAGGAGTAGAAATATGAAGCAGTGATTAAGTGAGTATAGATTTAAATGTAATATAATAAATTTGGTACACAGAGTGAAGCGCATTGTGTCAAAAAATAATCACAAAAAAGGGGTCCTCAGTAAAATTTAATAATCATAACTTCCCAGTGTTAAGAATTTTTCCAGTGGCCAAATAGAGAAATTTAAAAAAAAAACAAAAAATATAAAATGACAGGTAGTGACTTGGGTCAGGAAACCATTTTACTGAGTTATTTTCACTAACAAAATGGGGGTACAGGCAAGTATGGAATATGAAAATATACAAAATTGAGGTGGGTTGATATAACGGATGGATACATCATCTAGTATGGATGGCCTTCATGTGCTTAAGTGTCTGAATCAGGAGCTGGCTGACGCCATTGGGGAGAAATAAGTCCCACCCTGAAAAAATCAGGTATTTGAGACAAAGTAGGTGCCACACCCCTGCTCATTCTTACCATTATTATATTGCACAGAGTATTTCACGGCAAACATAACACTCCATCAATCAGAACAGTAAGGGAGGAGGAGAGGCATTGTGGGAGAAGGCATTCAGTTATTGAACTCCTCTGCAGAAAGGACACAAATAAATGACTGAATTCTCTCAAAATTATTTAACCAGCTTTCATTATTTTTGAAATAGAGCAATTAGTTTTTCATTTATTCCTCATCTTGATCATCGTACTAAAGAGAGTGTTCAACACCTCCGTCCAATTGATGAAACTACACACTGGTGGTCCAAACCGGATACTAAACTGTATACTATTGAATGATGCAGGAAATTTTCCCTTTAAGTTACCTATCAGGTACGCTACAAGATATTTTGAAGTGAGTGATTACTCCTGAACTGTATTTTTGGTAGCTTGAGTCCCGTTTTCTTCACTTGGAAGGCCTCGTTCTCCATTCTCTGCTGCATTGGTTGTTAAGTCAGTTGCGATGGATTCTGTATTCTCACCACTGTTTAGTATCGGTGAACCTTCACTGTCATCGACAAGGTTGTTTTTGGCGCTCTCGGTTTCAGATGGCAGACCCTTTTCGACCGCCACGGATGGTTCCACTGTATCACCATCGTCGTGACCAGTGCCTTCGGCGGATACTTGTTTCTCTGAACCGGTTGTTCTTCCGCCCTGGGCAGCAGCCTCAGCTATTTCCTCGTTCTCATTGATTGCCAGTGTAATCTCTTCATCTGTCTGAGTTTCAGTTGGTTCTATCAAGGCTGGTAATTTATAATCTAGCTTCCTCTCTAAGACGTTGATGGCAGTGAAATCCCAGGGCAGGACCCCACTCAATCCATTCAGCGTCTTTGTTGTTTGCCCAACTTCTGTTAGAAGTCTATTCTTTCCAGCATCTGAGGATGGAAATGTAAAAGCACCAGTCGTAACTGCGGCGACAAATAGTTTTGGAATATGCTCATCAAGGTGTGCAAATATGCGTGAAAATACGTCCTGGAGGTGATCCGGAGGCAAAAGTGCATTAAGAACAGTATGGAGTTTGCGGGTACTGCTTGAAATGCCGTCTAAAAAGACAAAACATTCTACAACGTCTTCCTCGTTGGCGGTTGCTTGTTTTTTGGCTCTGTCATCGAAGTCGACACTCGCAATTCGTGGTGCCAGTCCATGCTCAACAATACCACCGATGATGGATACAAACTTGTTCAGAACTTTCTCGTTGTGATCTTTGTATTCACTTTTGATGCTGTCCAAGTCTATCAAAAGACCATGTTGTTTTGCAGGGAGCTGAGCCATTAAGGCTGCTCGAATGTGAGGCAATAACGATATTGTCATTCCGAGGCACTGTGTAACATACGAAAGGTGCTTGGCATTGATGGATTTGAGCCTGGCAGCAGAATGAATTGCTCCCGCTCCAAGGACAAGGTTTGTGGCTCGTGCGTTAAAAAGTCTCATTAATTCAACCACTTTCGTAACCGCATTTGTCGCGAGAGTCCGCTGAAAGTAGGCAGCAGACGATAAATTTGTCATGATCATTTCGATTAGAAGCAGGCAGGACCACACAACTTTATAGTTTACTCCTTCCACAACTGCGACTGGATTCTTCGCTTTGCCCTTTTGGTCGTCATCTCCATTCTGTTGGAGATTTCGCAATGGGGTCGAAACAGTGGCAAGCCCAGTACATAACCTCGTGAGGGCTGCTTGTCTCTCGTTTGATACCTTTGACGGTACACAAGTTTGAGATGAGGCGATGGGAACAATTAACAGCAAAAATTGAGAAACGAAGTGAATGAAAGGCACATCATTGCATGCATTGCCAATCCATGATGCGCCCATCACAAGCAACCGAACACAACACAACAAAACACAACGTACCTCGCACTGGGACCAACGTTCGGAATCTAGCGCAGAGACCAACGTCGACATATTGGATTCGTGCGTTCGATCCAAAAATGATTTTGCTTGACCCACCAGCGTCGATCGGAGGCTAACAGCTCTGGTTTGGTTGCTGTAATCCTCCATTTTTGTTGCGAACTCTGTACAGGTGTCCCAGAGTTGCTTCATTTCCGAGAGCGAGATCACCGAGTGTGCTTCTTTTCGGAGTCTCAAAAGCTCGGCGATCGAGTTGGTCGCCAACTCTGCCGCCTGTACGACTGCCTCTTTGGTCCATCGTTCGCTCCCGTTTAAATTGCCCGGCGACGAGATTTCTCCAAAGATGGCTTCCGACGCACAAAACTCATCGACGCGATGCGCCATGACAAGTATCGATTTGATTTCTTCGATCAACAATTGAAGACAATTGTAAAAGGCTGGATACGTCATACCGGTGACACCTCCGGAAGATTTGTTGCTGCCCACAGACGAGGAGGAGGACTCCATGAACTCGGCAATTGTGGTTCGAACCGTCATTCGGATCATTTGCTGCAACCGTCGCTGATAGAGCTCCGAGGTCTTGTGCACGGCGCCACAGATTTGGAGGGCTTCCGCCGTTTCGAGAACCCGTTCTCGTTCGCTGGGTCTCCAATGAAAGAATAGTTCCACGAGCTCGTCGGACAAACTCTGTACCACGAGCGATTCGTATTGCGTAAACTGAGCACCGGTAGAAGACAAGGCTGTCAGCAATCGAAGCTCCAGTGTTGCAGCATCGTCGTTGTGATCGTGGTGGTGGTTCTCGGTGTGGCTGTTGCCGTTGCCGTTCTTTGCATTTCCGGTGCCGCTGCTTTCGGCAGGATTGTCGTCGCTGGAAGCCCCGGGTGCGTCCTCCGCACCCTCCTCGATGCCGCTGCTGCCGTTCAACAACCTGCGACCGTATTGTATTTGCAGCGCGGCACCCAGGTGGTCGTTGGCGGACAACAATCCACCGATGGAAGCCTTGCACCGCACCAGTTCCATGGATCCGTCCAGCAGATCGACGAGAATCTCGTAGTCCTGCCGCTGGTGATCGGAAATGTCCTTTGTTTGTCGGTACACACCCAGGGCCTGCTGCATGCAGGCCCTCAGGTTCTGGACCTGCCGGAGGAGGTCGACGATGCTGGATTGCAGCTGCTGGAACCGCGTTGTTTCCTGGAAAAAGGCGGTCGACTTTTGCCGGACCTGCTCCTGCAGGGCCAGCTCGACCCGGTCCAGGTGACCCGCCAAGAATTCTTGCTCCCGCACCGGAATGAGTTCCTGCGTCGGCTGGTAGAGGGAATTGGTGGGTTTGGTGGTCGTTTCGTCGCCGGGAGCACCGTCGTGTTCGGTTTTGGTTTCGTTTCCGTCCTGCCGCAGCAGCAACTCGGCAAAGGTTCGTGCGTCGGTCAGATCAAAATCCGTCTCGTAAAAGACGGAGGGAATGTCCTCCAGCTGCTGGTTGAGCCGATCCTGGTCGACCACGTCCTCCGAGTGGAGCGTCCGGGTGTTCAGGCCCTGTGCCACGAGGGTGTGGGCCAGCACCCCGCACTCCTCCAGGTAGTACTGCATCTCCTGCAGCTCGAGGTTGACCAGCTCGGGCGGGATGTTGTCGGCGCGCATCATGTGCATCGGGTGGGTCTCGTCCTCCTCTTCGTTCTGGTAGTAGTACTCCAGGTACAGGGCTTCGTCCGTGTCGTCGCCCAGGTACTGACGGGAGAGCTGTTCCAGAAAGAGGTTGAGCGATTCGATTTGTTCCGCCACGTGCGCCAGGGTGTCTTCGAAGGTCTGGACGGCATCGGAAAACATTCCGTGATGCTGCTGGTCTGCGGACGATGCCGATGCCGATGACGATCCGAGTGGTGCCCTGCTTGGGGGTTGTGGTGGTGGATGTGGTGCTTGGGCTTGTCCCGGAGGCGCAACGGCACCCGGTGGCTGCCGGCTGCCGGGTCCCTCCCCCGGCGTCGTGGTCGTTGCAGCGCTTTGCTGCACCGTTGCCCCGGCACCCCCCGATCGGGGATTGGCCACCACCCCCAGGAGATTGAAGCCGTCCAGCTGAAACCCGCTTTCGTGTTTCGTGGCCTCGAGGCATTCCTCGGCTTCCCTCGTGGCACGGTCTCGCTCGTCTCGGTTCGGGAGACGGAATCCGGTGGCATTCGGGCGGGCGGAAGCGGAGGCCTCGACACCCTTGTGCGGGGGCGGCGTCGGCGTCATGGCGGTGCCCGTCCTTGCTGCGCGTGTGCGATGGGATGGGGTGCGATGGGGTGCGATGGGGTGCGATGAGGCACGGCACGGTACCGTGCGTGGATCAATGCGGGGTCCAATGCAATGCCCGACAGGGAGTTGTGCACTGCCGTTCTTCCGAGCCGTTCGTATCGTACGCCCCGCCGATGCAGTGCAATGCAATGCAGTGCAATGCCAGCAATCTTCTGCCGTGCGTAGGGTACGGTAGCTCGCCGGTTCCGTTGCCGATCTGCTCTGCTCTGTTCTGTTCTGTCTGCCGATTGCGTACGAGTCGGTAGGGTACGAGTACGAGTACGAGTACGAATACGATCGACCGGGGTTCCTCCGATCTGTTTCGGACAAGGACGTCCTTCGACGGATGAAAAGGGTACGAGTACCAAGCACGAGTACGAGTTCGTACTCGTACTAATAGACAGTTACGACAGAATTGCCGTTCCATACCATACGTAACGTACCAGTACCGTAGATAGGCTAGCCTAGCTGGACCGATCGATAGATCCGACGAGACAGAAAAAAATGAAAATGACCCTTTCTTTTGTGTTTTGTTGTGAAAAGGATCGTATCTCCCCCAAAAATGTTGACCCTTTGTTCGTTCCATTTCGGGGGGGGGTCGGGTTACGGTAGTACCGTACGAACCCGTCCGGTAGCGTTATGCGTTACGGATTGCGGGGCTGCATACGGTAGGGTATGTACATACGTATGTACGATTCGTACGGAAGATCTAGTAATTTCGTACGTACGTTCGTATGTAAGTTCGTACGTACGAGGGATTCCGGCAACGAAAAAGAGAACACAGAAAAGAGGGTTGGTGCATGTCTGGGAGATTTTTTGTTGGACGGTGTCAACTGTCAACGGAGGTATCGTCCGGAGATGCATGCCACCGTACGATACCGTAGCGCATCGGGAGAAACGGAAATCGTTCTCGCATCGATTCGACGCTCTCTGTTTGCACGAGCACAACGATTGCAACAACACCCAGCGCCCCACCGCACCGCACCGCACCGCATCGGACCGTGGCTGGTTCTCTGTCTCCTCCTCCTCCTCTTGGTTGTGTTCTTGTCCTTGTCGCACCGGCAATGCGCTTGCCCTTCCCCCGGTCGTCCCCTCCGCCACCGCTTGCCCGGTCCCCCCGGGTGGGGGCCTTTGGATGGATCCCCGCAGCAGCAACAGCGACAGCGACAGCAGCAGCGACGGCACTCTTGCTCTTTGTTCGGGCGGGGACCGCAAGCGGGCTGTCCCCCCACCAAGCCGCCGCTTCCTACGCGGAGGCCCGCAGGGTCCGGGCGCTCGAGGGACCTTCTGCTGCGGTAGCTCTCTATCGAAGCCTCCTCGACCGCTACCCGGGGGACGCTACGGCGGCGGCGAGGATCGCCGCCGATCCTTACCAGGCCTCGAAACACGACCGCCTCGGGAGGGGGGGGAGCCCCCGTGAGCGAAGGGAAGCCACCCGCTTCCTGCAAGAATCCTTTGGCTTCGAAAGGGAATCCGTTGCCGGCCTGGTGTTTGCGGGCCCGGTGCCGGGGAACGGCAACGGCAACGGCGACAGCAACAACGACGACGACGGCAACGGCAAGTGCGGACACGAATCGCAGGGGCCGACCCTAGACCACCGGCTCTTCCGCGCCCTGCGGTCGTCGGCCCCGCTCTACCTAAAGGCACGGGGAGCCGGGACCGTTGTGCCCCCGCTCCCGGCCACCCCCCTGGAGGCCTGCGTCCAGCTCTTCCTCATGGGGGTCTCCCTCCCGACGGAAACCTGCAAGGAGCTCCTGGGCCGCCGCTTTGTGGAGCTCGCGGAAACCCTGGGGCTGGCCTTTACGACCGGGGGCGGCGGCGCAGAAGCAGGCGCAGAAGCAAGCGGCGAACGGGCACCGGACCCTGCCGGGAGCTGGTTCGTGCCGTACGCACACGTCTTCCCGGTTTCGATCGGGGACAAGACCCTGTACCTGGCAACGGATTTGCATCCAACCGTTCTCTCCTCGACGACCGTCGGGGGGAGCGGTAGCACGCCCGGCGGCAGTGGCGGAAGCACGGAAGACGGCGCCGTGATGTACATTGGACCCGATTCATTGTGAGTCTTCCGAGCACCGTGTACGCATTGAGTGGTTGGAGACGAAAATTCGAGAGGTTGCAACAAAAAAAGAAGAAACAGCAATGCGATTTCTTTCTGCTGTTTCATTCTTCTCAACATTAAGCTTTGTGGTTGTTTTTGTTTTGTTTTGTTTTATTTAATTTTATGCTAGGGCATTGATAGACCACTGGACGTCTCTGCAGCAGCTCGAGGGAGACGAAGGCATCCTTGACATTGGCTGTGGTTCCGGGATCCAGGCATTGGGCCTCGCAGCACAATTGTCGGGGGGAGAGGGAACCAAACCGGTCGTAAAATGCGTCGACATCAACCAGCGGGCATTGCGAGTCACCAAGCTCAACTTTGAATGGAACAATTTCGATGCCCCCACGCTCATACACGGGGACATCAACCAGCCATCCGCAAGAATTCTTCTCGACAACGGAGAAGCAGGAAAACCCATACCATGGACGGAGCTCCTGGGGAAGTCCTCGGCGACCTATATGGTGTCGAACCCGCCCTTTTTGCCCGTGCCGGTCCACGACCCTGCAATTGCCTCCCGGTACGGCTTGTTTTCTTCCGGTGGTTCGACCGGGGAGGAATTCTTCGAGAGTCTTGTTCGATTGGCGTCGGACGTTTTGGACCAGCAGGATCCCTCGGCCACCCTGGCGATCGTGTCGGAATTCATGAACCCGAGCGGTGATTTTGCGGATCGTCTGTCTTCCTGGTGGAAGACCGACGTCGGCGGAGGATCTGCCCGTGCACTCTTGCTGACCAACGAGAAGGCTCTCGATGCCGCCGAGTACGCAAAGCGTCGTGCCGACAACGACAAAGAAGCAAAGCAATGGGAAGGGCACCTAGGGAACAACGCCATCGAATTTATTTCTCCCGGCTTGATGTTTCTTAGACGCAACCAAAGAAAGAGCAACCTTACCGGCGATAACACCACAACGGCGGTAGATCTCAAGCATGTTGTCGTTCCCAAGACAAGAGAAGGGTCCATTTGGACGCCAACAAACATTGTTGGTCGCAATTTTACCAGCCGCCATATCCAAAAATTCGCATCGGAGTGGAACACCGTCCCACCGGACACGGTCCATGATGCGGATGGTCGACAAGCAATTACAAAGCACTAACATGATTCGTCCTGCTTTTTGCTCTGCTTCTTGTCCTGCTTTTTGTCTTTGTCTGTGCCGTTTTCTTTGTCAGTGTCTTCGTCTTCCCCAGTAGTCACCAGAGACTTGACCGAATGCGCGCAGGAAGGATCGAAATGCACAACACTGGGTAAATCTGATAAATTGGCATCGCCACCTTCCAGATCTTCATCCGCTGGAGTCCCGTCTCTCGATTCCCTAGCTCTCGAATAATCGTCACCATATATTTTGGCTCGCACCTCTTCGATCTCTTCTGGATCTCCAGCCTTGGACATGGCAACTCGCATCGAGACGGTAACAGAATCTTGGGGGTACATGATTCGTAATGTTTGAAGCCTCGGTCGAACATAGATGGCGCAGTTGAAGACACCCAGGAGTGGGTAGAAAATGACTGTCATCACCTTAAAGGCATAAATCAAATCTTCGTTTAAGGGCACACCACTGCCTTTCGACAGGAACAAGAGGGTTACAAACCAGATGTAGGAACTCAAATAAGAAGTCGTATAGAACAAGCATTGAGCCGAAATAGTTTTGAGTTTTTGCCGTGTTATTTCTTTTTCTTCCTCGTCTTCAGCTTCATCTGGATCTGTCATACTACTGCCACCGTGACTTTTGTCATCACCGGCATCGTCATCATCACCACCACTACTGCACTCCTTCTTTTCAAATATCAGGACATGGATGCGGATGATCAGGGTCACAAGTATAGTAAGGGCGCCACTGGCAACAAGGGTCCACCGATATATATCCCGGACGAAATACCAGCTCAAATCTCCAAAATAGCCAGCTCCATAAACAGTACAAAGTCCCACACGGGGATCGTAACCAAAGGAACCTGAGCTGATCGCTGCTCCGGAGATTACAAGCGGAAGGACCAAACAAAGCGAGTTCCCTGCTATTTCTGCCCCCGGACAATATTTCTCTTCCATAGAAGGTTTTTCGGGGGATGGCGTTTCACCGTCCTTGTCCGCCGCATCGGCAACAAGTTGCTTGTACTCGCGACTTATCGACAAAACGCTGAAGTAAAAGTAAAGAGCAGCGACGGTGTGGTACAGCGACACGGCAAGCGAGCCAAAGACCAGAAAGAAACCCATCGCGGTACAGCTCGCCGGAGTGCCTGCCGGAGAGTAGCCGCTGTTCCTATCGACCAGGAACGGGTGCATCCCGAGGAATATCGAGTTCATAACCAGAGCTATGTTCAGCATGAAAACAATCCGCTGGTAGGCCGATTCCAATTTCGCGGAGGATATTCGCACCACGACAATGGAGGCAAAGATGGACATCAAAGACGTCGTGAGTAATAGGTATGGGAGAGGAGCATCACGAGACTGCGGGCCAGATGATTCTTGTGATTCATACTGTAGTCCCCTTGAAGCAAGCGAATCGTAATCATAATCGGCTTCATTCGGTGCCATCCGAAGTACATCTTCGATCCAAAATGTCGTCATCGTAATCCTAGGTTGATTTGTGGCCTTTGTAAGCTTCAAGTGTTTCTTTCGACGAAGGGTTGATGACGTTCTCGATCAAATTTGGGAGCAGCGGCTACGTTTGCAATATTCCCGGGATCTTTAGTGATTCCTATGGGTTTGCTATTGAGGTTCGCTTTTCCGATTTAATCTTCAAAGTTGTTGTGGAGTTATTTTTGAGAAACCGAACCTGACGGACTGAACCACTTTCTCTGTTACTGCATGTATTACTTTAATTAATTAGTGAGAGTTGGCACAGTACGGTAACGTACGGAGTGCAGATGTTCCAGGATTTTAAGATTGCGGATTTTTTTTTCATAGTCACTTCATTTTTTTTTAACCAGTACAAACTAGCTTGCCGTCTGCTTCGAGATACAAACAGTGCGATAGTAGAAGTAATTTCCTCGTTACTTTTCCTGCATTGATCAAAATCACTATGGTACAAAACAGAAAATAAAAATTATTTAGGAAATGATAGAAATAGTCTCTTTACCGGTTCGAACCACGCAGACGTAGCGTACGAGTACTCGTACGCACGTTTTTCTGATTGTACTACTTGTTGCAATTTTACAACGCTAAAAATCAAAAAGAATTCTATCGATCGAGGCGGGAGCAATAAGACCAGCACCGTACAGCATTGTAAGTTGGTTGTGGTAGAATAACTTCTTTGTTAGGGTCTCCACGCGATGAAACAGAAGCGCCTGCCCGCACAGGGGGGTTCTCCATTACAGTACGAGCTACGACCACAATTTGTAATATTGTACGTAATATTTTATGAGCCCTGCCCTTCAGCGCTCGATTATTTCGAATTGATTTTGGGGGTTTCATCAACATTATTTTCGGATTCCCCCCTTATTTTGTAGATTCTTCGATCTCTATCCATCGATTGTCAACCTCAGATGCCGGAAAAATACGGTGCAATACACTTCCGGTCGTCGTTTCTGTTGATCGTGATACTATTAAGCGGTAAAAGAATCCTGCATCATAGCTTTGGCTTCATCCATGCCGATAGAATAGCCGTGATAATGAATAATATTTCGAGACGTTTTGTATCGTCGGGGAGCCTCTTTACGAAACGAATCCAATCCGTGGCCGGTACAAATGGTGGTAGTGTGACATCCGCTGTCCGCTTTCCGTCTTCGTTGGAACGCGAACATTGCCAACAACATCGTCGTGGGTTTGGGTCTGTGGATATTCCCCACCGGCAGGGGTTTTCGGTGGGCATGGTATCTAATTTGGCATCGTCCCTCTCGTCTTTCAGAATCAGTAGGGGTTTTTCTTCGAATGCAACGCCAGAATCAAACGACAACGATGATCAGCAGCAACAAGAACAGCAGCTGCAGAACCAGATTTTGTCGCCTACTACCCCAACCATGTTTACAGACAGGGACTCGGGCGAACAATACGGTGTTGTTCTCGATACACGAAAACTCCCCAAACTGAAACCAAGTGTCGTTAGAAGACGATTGGACAAATGCAAAACGTATGTTGGTCGGGAACAATCCATTCGCCACTCTCCCTGGAAACTGAACCGGATCTGCCAGCTGGCGGCGGGTCTCACACTGGAGGAGGCCCTGACACAGCTAAAATTTCTCGACAAAAAAAATGCCGATTTGGTAGCCAAAGTACTGAAGCGAACCAGCAATCTAGCGGACATTCGTGACGGTCTTCAGATTTCTCAACTGGAAGTTGCGGAATGCTTTGCTACGAGATCGCTCATGCTCAGACGCATCAAACCGATGGGCCGAGGGAGGTAAGTGAATGATTCGCACTGAGTTTGAGTTTCTCCCTGGTACATCAATGTCTACGTTCGGAATTGAACCGCAAGCCCTTCCACGCAATACATCTCATGATGGCCCTTCCTTTTGGTGAATGAACAAATCAATAATCGCTCGAACCGCACTGCAATGTCAATGGAATCGCAATTTATTGTAGACACGGTGTGATGCACCACAAATTTTCCCACATTCGAGTCGTCTTGAGAGAAATCGATTTCCCACTCCGAATTTATCAGCAAAAATCCCTGAATCAGAAAAAGAAGTGGATGCTTCACCAACAACGTGCCCAAAATGATGCACAGGCCGCCATGGCCAAGCGAGAAGAATTGGAACGCCTCGAGAAACAACAACAGGCCCAACTCGAAGAGCGCAAGAAAGCTGCGAGGAAGCAATAAAAATACGATCTAAATTTACACGCGGAGATATTTTGAAATAGTTCTGTCTTGTGGCCCAATATCAGTATGAGAATTACGCTGGATGGATTGACTTGCATCGAAAGCTTTTGCCTACATTCTTCTGAAAAGTAGTTTATCATAGCCGCTTCAATATTCGATTTTTACGTACAGTTGGTTAAAGGGACCGAAAACAACTCACGGGCTAGGTATCGTTGCAATGTGCTTCCACAGAGTCGTTTTAGGTAGTTTCCCGTTCAGAGCTAGTCCTATGGCTTCCCTGAGCAGATCGGAGTCATTCACAACCGCTCCTTCTGGATCTTCTCTGCACAAGCCGTCGTAAAGGTTCAGCCCGCGTGTTGTCAGTGGTTGAGATATCGAGGGATCATACAGTACCGGTGTGCCGTTGCATTCAATGAAAAACATGTTCCCATCTTCGTCCAGCATCCAATCTGCACTCATGACTTCGAATTGCAGGGCGGCATTTTCGGCCGTACGCTGCCCTTCTATTTCTGATGAAGGCGGATGGCACTGTAGCTTGCCCTGCTCGATGGCCCGTCGTAGTATTGTTTCCATATTTGTTTGGCATTTCATCGTCAAGTCCCATTGAACTCGCCATGGATGATCTGCATAGAGTCGTCGCCTTCGCATCGTTGTTATCTGTACCTCATCTGATACGTTGCTTGGATCGAAAGGTTCGTCGGCTATGGCTAGATAATACAAATCGTGGATATACAATTGCCAAGAAATTTTGTTGGTCGCCTCGTCTTTCGTACACCCGATCCATTGGTATGTCTTCACGTGACATTTGTGACAGCCGAATACTTCTTGGCCGTTGATAATTTTTGAATACTGACATAGTAGCGGCCGTTGGATATGCACTTGAAGTTGCTCATCAGGTTCCAAAGCTTTAGTTGGAAGTCCGAGGCTTACGTGGACAGCTCGACCACCGTTTTGGTTTATCTTTTTGAGAAACCAGACGAGATTCTCACTGTCACCACTGCTTATTCTAATGTGATCACAATAGTTTTTGGCATCTTGCAGTTTGTCAAATGTGGGTGGCATCAACTCTGGAACCAACTTCAAGACTAAGTCTTTTTCGTCTAGCCATTTCCTATTTTTAAGGAAAAATCGCGTAGAGGAACAAAATTGAGGTTCATCGCACAATTCCACAATGCGTCTACCAAGGGGACAGAAATACTGCTTTCCATGGTTTGTAATGTCCTGGAACCACGGTTGCTGGGGCCATTTCATATAGCCGTGATCCCGTACTAAATAGGTCATGTAAAGCGGCAAATGTCCGCCTCGACCGCAATCGCATACATATCTCTGGGCCGAAGAACCAGGTTTATTTTCAATTGACGTAGGAAAGTCGGTAATTCTTTGCTGCAGTAAATCCATTGCTATCAGAGGGTAGCAATGAACCATTCATAAACGTGACAAACGATCTTTATCAGGACTGGCAATTCGGTAATGATCACTCATGGTTCTACTTTGTTGGTCTTTTCCTCACTTACATTCCAAAAAGTCAACCAGAGAGCACACCTCTTCCCGGAAAAGCAATCCGTGGTTCATAAAGGCTTCTCTGCGCTCAGAAGATTCGTCTCCTACGCAGTCCCTGAGTATTTGCACATTTGGAGCACCGATCACATCGCCCAATAAATTGCATATGGCCTGTGCGGTCGGTCCGTATCCCAACACTGCAAAATGCTGATCCCCTGTCGAAGTCTGCTTTGTCGAGTTCAGAAATGCACCTAAAAGCTCTGTGTCGGTGGCTTGAGGCAAAAATGTCGTCCGGCTCACCACGGTCTCGTTTTCTAATGCCGGAACGCATAATTCGGAAGAAGTAAACCAGCTGATCGGCATGTTCTTGGCTTGCATTTTGCGCAATACACCCAGTTTAGGGTGCGAAGGAGGAATAGAATCATAAGTATCCGGAAACAGAATCATAGTATGAACTATACGAACATTTTGTGTTCGTGAGTTGCGAGCGGCGCGAATTGCGACGTCGACCAAGTCGACGAACCGACACGATTCCCCAACTTTCTTTACCACATCGGGCTGAACGTCACATACTATCAATGTAAGATTCCTCATGCTCTTCGTCCGTCACGGCTTTCCTGAGATGGTGGTGAAGATAGTGGGGAAGAAAAGAAATCAGTACAAGTTTTTTTTTCTGAGTTTTGGGACTTCTTTGAATTCAAAATACAGTAGTACTGAAATCACTTTTTGTACAAAATAGAATTGTACGTACGTACTCGTACCCAGGGGTCATGACCCCTGCTCGTACCCTTCATTCAGTCAACAAGAAGTTTTTAGTTTTTCCGAACTGTTCACGCTCTGTTTTTAATATCGCGCTCTGTCACAATCGCAACTCGTAAGGTGACTAACTACCTATGATCAATAGGATAATAAGTTGAAACTGCTTCTATTTTTATTTTTGAGGTTGAACAAGAAAGATTTGCGTGATTTGCGAGTTCCGCGGCGATGCATGCAATAATCGTTTGTGCTTCGTCTAGTACGAGGTACTGTACTAGAACGACGTACTCGATCTATCGAAGTCCTCGACATCTCGTGCTGCAACACCAATAAAACCCATAACATTATCTAGATAGTAACCATGAAGTTCGCCCTATCGCTCCTCGCCCTTGCCGCTGGTGCCTCGGCATTTGCCCCCAGCACCCACAACTTCCGTCACAATGCTTTGCGCATGAGCGAAGAGGCCGAAGCCGAAGCCGAAGTTGAAGAGGCTCCTGTTGAAGAAGAAGCCGCCGCCCCTGCCCCCGTCGTCAACCAAAAGGTTCCTCTCGTTGGTGAGTCACCCTTCCTCGGCGGAAAGTCATTCTTCCTTGGAGAGACTGAATGGGACCTTCTCACCATGAAGTGGGGATCTGCTGAGACCGGAAAGTTCATCCGAGCTGCCGAGCTCAAGCACGGTCGATCTGCCATGATCGCCACCGTTGGATACGCCTTCCACAAACTCGGATTGACATTCGACAAGATTTCCCCACACGAATACCTTTCCGTCACGAAGGACATCAAATTCGCCGATCTTGCCGCGATGAACCCGGTCGATGCCATGAAATCTCTTCCTGCGGAATCTTGGGGACAAATGTTTGCTTTCTGCACAATCCTCGAAATCTACGAATTGACCCACTCTGGTGGTAAGCTCGCGTATGACGAAACCGTCGCACCCGGTCTTCAGCCTGGAGGTTTGACCGGTGATTTGGGATGGAACCCTCTTCAGATCAATGTTGATGACCGTCGCCGAACTGTCGAATTGCAAAACGGACGTGCCGCTATGTTTGCCATCTCTGCCTGGATTGCCGCCGAAACCATCCCTGGATCCATGCCTCTTCCCCTCCTTTGGTCCAACTAGGATGTGTACTCTAGACTGATTGCCGATCACCAACAAAATCAGTAAAGTTCTATAGAAGTATCACTAGTTGCTACGATTACCATAATTGCCAACACCTCTTGATTATATAATATTTAAAGAGATTTTTCTCGGTTGTTTCCAGTGACCATCTTTTTGTAGGGTAGGGACATTGAAGAACTGTGACTGTGAGCATTAGCCCAGCAGCTACATCCTAAGTGTCTTTCATCCAAGAGATTCTGTCATTGTTGCACATAGGTTCCCTCTTTGTAATAGCACCTCCCAGTAATTGCAAAAATTGGATGATACAGTAACAATCCACTTTCATAATACTTGCTATTCCTACTGAAAATAAATTTGTACATTATCGAGTTACACTTCTATCATGATAAAACATCAAGTTCACTCGTCTTGCGAAATAGCTAGCTTTGGAAAAAATTTGGAACCAGAATCTACTCGCGATTCTAGTTCTTTGTTTCGGGATTGCACGGGGTGAACGCAAAGTGTTGAGCTGGCGAGCGATCGCCGCTCCGTTGGTAAGGTTCGAATTTGTCGAAACGACAATGTTTTCGTGTGGCTTTCTTTTCTATTGTATTCTTACGAAAGCGTCTTGCTGTTCTTTGCCGATGTTGTTGCCGTCGAAGGCTCTGCTGCGTCGGTACCACCGCGGGCGGCCGGGTTGAGCCTCGAAAAGAACGAGCTCGCCCCGGTATCGACGGCTACACCTTCCGATATCATCTTTTCTTCGACGGTGGCACCATCCAGAACCCCCTCTTCTTCCGAGGACGTACTCACGCTGCCGGCAGAGACCGACAAAATTACCGTCCACAGCAATCCGCAGGCCGTCAACACAGGAATTTCTGGCGGAAACGGAAACATCGGAAAAAAAATGCGGGCGCGTTAGAACGAAACACGACGACAAGTTTTGCATCCCCCAGCTGATTCGAGGACCATTCCATGGGCGCACATCTTCTGATTGGTGTTGGAGAGGGATTGAAATGCATATATTTTACTTACGAAGGTTTTCTTCAACAAAGTAGAAGGCACCAAACTGGACCGGAATCCAAAACAAGAGGTTGCGTTTCATCAGCGTGATGAACGTGTCTTTCGCTCTTTGGATTGTTTGTTCTATTGTCAGGCTCTGGACAAAGCCTGTGACGGAGTAGAAAATAGGATAATACAGCACTGCACATACATTGGCGTGACAAAATCACAGAGACAAAGGGCGATAGGTATTCTGTAAGTTGTTGTTGCTGAATTCCGAGCAGAAGATTCCAATTCCTTTTCGACTAGGGATGGTCCAATATAATGCACACATCAAGAAACTTACGAGGAATGAGAACCAATTGGCTCACGAGGGTTTGCTCTATTGCTCCAAGAAGAAACGTGGTGTCCTCTGTCTGCAGTTTGTCGTGTAAAAAGGGAAGGGATCCCAGTAGACCAAGCGAAAACTGTCCGTTGCAGGTCTGAATGATGGGTCCGTAGGTAACCTGCTGCACCGTTCTCCACACGCCGTCAAAGGCGACAAAGGCTCCGGCCCGGAGCGTGTTGTATTCCTCGGGCGTATTGGATTGGGCAATGGCATCTCCGACAATGGCCAGCAAGCACCCCGTGATGATTTTCACCTTGAGTGGTTCCGCGTCGAGGGCTTTTCGATAGTCCGACAACAACGACGAGGCAAGGTCACCGATGGCCGTTGGGCTCTCCACCGAAGCGAGCATGCTGCTGCTCGCTGCGTTCCCAACCGACGGTGCGGCGTGTGCCGAGGCATCGATGATTCCCGACGGCAGACTCGTTCCCAGCGCCGGGAACGCCGACGAAGCTTGGTGGATCGCAACCGGCAGGTGGGTGTGAAGATCGTGGGCAACGGGCAGAACGCTCTCCATTCCAAACGCCCGGACCCCACCGGGAAGCAAGCATGCGCCTAGCGCTGTGAATAGCATTGTCGATTGCACCATGCTTGTATCCTGAGTGTTGTACTTGGTGGCACTGCTCACGGATTTTGAATTCTGCGAAAATGAGTGTGGCGATGCTTAATTCTGCTCTACTTCAAAATATAGTCAGAGGAAGGTGTTGGGCCTTCTTCGATATCAGCTGAGTGAAACAAATCTTCCTGGTCTCCCGGTAAAACTCCTTTCGGTTTGTCACCTGAGAGCGTACTCGTATGCCTACTCGTACCCAGAACGTCGTGGACTGGCAATGCGCCACCAAATATACCAGTGCGTGGACCACGATTCATAACAAAACATGGCAGAATACACGTAAGCTTTCGGAACTTCTCATACTTTCTTGTTTCTCCATGGGTCGAGAGCTCATTCTTTCGTTCTTCGAGATATTTTGTGATCAAGGCATTTCGTTGGCCACGTAGATGGTCGCGCGCGGGCATCATGTCGTCATGGTTCAAACCTCTTTGTCCTTTGTTGTTGCGGCTTTCCGTCCCTTTATGTACTTCTAGTTTGTATTATACGTAGGTACGTATTGAGAATACGGCCTTCGCTGTTCGTTGCTTCTGTCGGTGTCAGGAGTTTATCTCCGCCGGTAGAAGACGAGAAGTTTCGATTTCAATTCCCGCCAAAAACGTCACACCTTCCATTCGTAGCCATAATACTGATACGAGCACACCGTGACGATCACGCTAGCACGAGTACAAGCCATAGATTCGAGAGGTCCTGTTCACCTTTGACACAAAAGTAAGAAATTCAGGTACTGGTACCCGTACTCGTACTCGTACCTTGTAGACGATACGTCGACTCATCTGTCCGTGACAAACTGCCTGAAATTACAGAATTATTTCTCTTTTCGGGAATCGTGACCGCCCATTTTCCAAATCAAATTTTCGTGCAATATTCTAGCGGTAACGAGCTACGAGTAACAGTACTACCAAAACCGTAGAAACCATCGATTGTCCTAAAATCTAAAATTCACGTGCAACTTCTGGAAACAAAGGATACCTCAAGCCACGTTCAAGGGAAGCTGCATAATACAATCCTTTGCTGGTCTGCCAAACACAAACAGGCTGCACCGAGACGTATCTTTCAAATCTCAACACCATGCTTCGAGTTGGAAACCTTGTAAGTAAGAGTAGCCAGGTTCGAAGGCTGGCGGCCCGCCCCCTGGCGGCTGCTTCCACCCAGTCCGCCGCTCCCCAGCGCCGCGAAATGTGCGGGCTCGTGGCGGCGATCGACGATATTTGGACGGTCCGATCTGCCGGAACGACCCGTGGTCCGATTCCAATTCTCGACGATCGCGAGGCTCTCCGCCAGACGACACGAATCCTGGATCACCGCGGTCCCGATGGTTACGAGATCAGCACCGGCACGGTCGGTGGGGACGCCGATTCGGCAAACCACGCCCGTTGGTCCATGGGACACACCCGTTTGGCCATTGTAGATCCGTCGAACCGTTTTGCGGACATGCCCTTCAATCTGAAATTTCGAACCGGCGCAGAGGGTTCCGAAAAGATTGTCCATCTCGCAGCCAATGGAGAAATCTACAACCACGAAGATATTTACAAGAAAATGGTGGAGAACGATGGCTGGGATCACGAGCGCATTTCGGGATCCGATTGCGAGGTGATTGCGCACGCATTTGCCAAGTATGGGGGACCCAAGGCTGCTGCTATGCTCGACGGTATGTTTGGATTCGTCGCCTTTGAAGAAGACGTCCAAACCGGAAAGATTACCGCGTTCGCCGCTCGCGACCCCGTCGGAATCAAGCCTTTGTACTACGGACGAACCCTTTGCAGCTCCAAGGACAGCGACGAGGCTGCCGCATACGTATTCTCCAGCGAACTCAAAGCGCTAGTGGGACACGCTGATCCCGCTACCGTGGTTGCCATTCCTCCGGGACATTACTGGACTCCAGAAGAGGGCTTGGTGTGCTACTACAACCCCGAATGGCTCCGCAACGATGACTATGCCCCGTGGGAAGATGAAGCCCACAAGGTGACCGACGACGAAATCCGTGAGGCTTTCACAAAAGCTGTCAAGAAGCGAATGATGGCCGATGTCGACTATGGATTTTTCCTCTCCGGGGGTGTTGACTCGTGCATTGTAAGCCACGACCTTCTTCCCCTGTACCGCCAGGAACGCCTAAAAGAATTCGGAGACGACCGCCCGATCCCTACGTATACTGTTGGAATGGAAAACTCTCCCGATGTCATGGCAGCTCGTGCCATGGTTGACAATCTTGGTGGAGACAAATACATTACCCACAACGTTCGATCGTTCACACCCGACGAGGTTTTCGATCTGATCCCAAAAATCATCTATCACATGGAGACCTACGAGGCAGAACTTATCCGAAGTGCCATTCCCAACTGGCTCCTGGCAGAACGTGCCGCTGTCGATGTCAAGATGGTGCTCACGGGTGAAGGAGCGGACGAGCTTTTCGCGGGTTACCTTTACTTCCAAGACGCCGAAACCCCGAGACAGGTACAAAACGAGCTTCGTCGAATTTACGGCATGCTTGGAAACATCAACCTTCACCGCACAGACCGAATGACCATGGCGCACTGCCTTGAAGCGCGTGTTCCGTTCCTCGATACCGAGTTTACCAAACTCGTCATGAGTGTCGATCCAGCCCGAAAGATGGTCGATCCGGAAGCCGTGAAGAAGAACACGCGGGGACGAGAAAAGTCAATGCTGAGAGAATTGTTTGAAGAACCTAATGCCAACGGCGACGTCATTCCTACACCTGTTTTGTGGAGAGCTAAGGCCATGCAGTGCGAGGGTGTTGGAGAGGACTGGGTTTCCATCCTCCAACGCCGTGTTTCGGGACTTGTATCTGACGCCGAGATGGACGAGGCGCACATTACTTACCCTATCAACACTCCTCAAACAAAGGAGGAATTATACTACCGCAGAATTTACGACGAGAACTTCCATGGCCTTGAACATGTTGTGAAGCTGTGGGAAGGTGGTGGCCGTGCCATGGGCGCCGAATGGAAGAGTAATCTGTACACCCGTGAGGGCTTGAAGGATGTCAACCTCCTGTCGCATTCTTTGCAAAACAAGAACCAAGCCAGAGCGTTCTCCACATCGGCAGGACCAACCATGTCCCGAGGCCTCCATACCGGCGGTGTTGCGGGTACTAGAAGTTTCTCAACCTTGCCCGTGCAAAAATTCGAAGAAGAGCCATACGAGTCCGCAAAAGCTAAGGGATTCGACGACTTTGAAGCGATGTTGACCTGCGGCGGAGATGATAGATCCTTGATCCTCGATTCTTCTACCAACAAGTACCACATCAAACCTCAGCCGGTCGACCCGGCCCACGTTTTCCGTGGCAGCTGCACCGGAAACCCGCCCACCCAACGTGGTTACGACGCCGCTAAGAAGCTTTACGACCAGCTCTCTGCGATGCCCGATGGAAGCCTCGATGGTGCCATCAGCGACGTATTTGCGGACCAAAGAAAGAGAATCGCAAAAATTTTGGAACTCGAAGAAGGTACCGAAGTCATCATCGTGCCCAGTGGATCCGACGCCGAATACTTGCCACTTGCCATCGCGAGAGCACTGAAGGGAGATGTTCCTATTTCCAACGGAGTTACTCAACTCCAGGAGATTGGAGCTGGAACTGCCCCTGCGTCCGTTGGGGAATACTTTTCAACTCATGCCCCGTTGAAAGGAAAGCTTGACGAAGGCACCAAATACCTGTCGGGATTCGAAACCTTTGACGGAATCGCTATTCCAGCCCGGGAGAAGAATGGAGATGTTATTGACGCATCGAAGAAAATGGAGGAATTCGTGGCCTCCACAATAGCAAAGGGATCGTATCCCATCGTTCACGGTGTCTTTGGAGGAAAGACCGGGGTTCGTGACGAAACAATGCCCGGAAGCCAGGATGCAGGCGAAACATCGCTCGGTGTTGTCGACGCTTGCCAGGGAAGATTTTCCTTGGACGAACTTCACGGATGGCTAAAGCAGGACTCAATTGTTCTGTACACTTCTAGCAAGTTTTACCAGGCTCCACCATTCTGTGGTGCGGTCATTATTCCACCTACGATTGCTGCCAAGCTTCGTGCCGCACCAGCACCAGAGCCAAAAGATATGTACACTCTTGATGGTCTCGGTGGATTCCTCACCGACAAAGAACTCCCCGATTGTCTTGAAAACTGGAAGCCATTGCTCGCGAAAGACGACAGTGCTAACCTCGGTCTTGCATTGAGATGGGAAGCCGGACTAGCAGGCATGGAAGGTAAGAACAACTGGCACTGTTTGGATCCCAGGACAAATCCAGTCTGCAGTGCATGAATGATACCAAAAAATAACAAAACTAACTCATCGCTTGCTTTGCTTTGCACCCTACCCCAATTTGATTAAAAAACTTCAGCCCTCGCGAGCATTCCAGATGGCCAGCGAACCGAAGCCTACAAGGAATGGGCCGGCTCCGTCGCTTCCATGGTGAACGAACGAACAGAATTGGATGCCTGGTGCGTGGAACGAAGCATCGTAAGCATTCGTGTCGCAAAGGGCGACGGATGGTTGAGCATGAGCGAGCTCCGAGATCTGTACCGCTGGATGAGCATGGATGTTTCCGGTTTGGTGCCTGACGCTACGCCAGAAGAAAAGGATGCCCTTTCCAAACCCGCCTACATTGGCCAACCTGTCGACGTGAGTGAAACCCATGCAATTGTACGAATCGCCCTCGGGGTGGAATCTATGCTGTCCTACTTTGAGGACAAGGAGAAAACCCTAACTGAGGACCAAGTCACCGTACTCAAGCTTGCAGCGATCGGCAAACACTTTGATACCCTGAAAAAGTCGGGACAGTAAACAATGTTTGGAACAAAGAACTGAACAGAACATAGCGCAAATACTCAATTCAAAATATAGATAACAAAAAAGCACTGGACTAGAATAGTTAGCTTGGCTTTAGCAAGATGATCTACAATCAGCGAATACCCTGGAAGAGATTGGTATTTATTCACCGATCGTACAGAATGCACATGAATCGCACTTCAAATCAGCCCGATCCATTTATTTACTTCGTAATTAACAGCACAAACAATACTCGAATGAATGAGAAACTCTGCGTTGGTAAAAAATGAGCTATGCACACCTACGGTGCCTAGGGAGTTAATAATTCGAATATATCGGACAGAATATTTATAAATCGCAAAACTTATATTGACTTATGGCTTCGTCCGAGAGCGTACAAGTACTGGAGTTTCACTTCGTTGAAACGTTGCGGTGTAGTTGCTCATCGTGAATGTGCGCCGTGCACGTTCGTTTTCCCTCTCTCGCACATTATTCTTCAAAGAAGTGCGAGAAATCTATCGATAGTGTGCTGTGAATTGAATATACCGTGTTCGCTTGGCTTGGTTTGATCTGGTACATCGAAAATCTCGAATGAAAAGTGGTGCACCACATTTAGTGCGTGTGTGTGTATGCCCATATGTTTGTAAATTGGATGTATTCTGTGTTCACCTCTTTTTGGTGTTGCCGGCGGTCTTGCTCAAAATCGTGCTCCACACCATTCCCGCCAGGCAGGCAAAGGGAATCTGCCAGTTCTCTGCAATCAGGCCAAAGAGGACCATTTGCATCGGAATCCAAAACATGAGGTTGCGCCTCCAGCACCGGAAAAACTGTGCCTTCATCCTGTCCACCGCCTGTTTTACAGTCAATCCTTGTATGAATCCGGTAAAAGCGCTGGGAAACGAAACCAGGAAGAATAGATTGGAAGCAATACAATTGTTAGATGAAAAAGCAAGGCATTAGGTCGAGTGCATTGCAAGAAATTTCCCACATGGTCTACTTACAAGAACACAGGATAATAAAGGCACTAACAAGCAAGCAATATCGAGAAAGAAAAGCAAAACGGTACGTTCGAAAGGGTGAGGAAAACTGAAGCTAACCACGTGTCCATTGCATGTAAAAAAACAGTCCCATAAATTCCCAATCAATCGATCCATGCACCGCACAACACCAGTTCAACTAGGATCGAAAATAGGAACAACTCGACTCCACTCACCGGTACCACGAGAAACTGATAGATCGCCGTTTGCTCGATCGCCGGAGCCGCCGGCGCTAGCATCGGGAGGAGCTTCCCGACAAAATTTCCCCTTCCCGCCCGGATGACGAGGGGAAACATGTTGTGCTGAAACATGCGATAGCACGAATCAAAGACCGCAAAGGACAGGGCCCTCCGCTTGTCGTATTCGTATCCTTCCCCGGCGCCCGAGCTGGCCTGCGCCATGGCGTCCCCGGCAACAGCCAGGATGGCCCCGGTGATCACCTTGGTGACCAAGGGATTCTGGACCAGCGCGTTCTGGTAGGGATTGTACAGGGTGTTGGCGAGGAGTGAGAGGATCGCCCTGGGTTTCAGGAGGGTAACGGTCAGCGCCGTGGCAAGCAGCACGCGGTTTCTAGGAACGGCGGAGTTCTTTCGAAAGACGATGTCTCCGTTGTGGGCCATGCTGAGCCGCATCGGCAGCACCTCGTCCGAACGGTGCCGCTGCCCGAGCGGCCGGACGTGGGGAAAGGCCATCTTGTCCTTTTGGCTGTTGCGGTTCGGGTGGTTGGCCGCCCACTTGGCGGTGGAAGGCCCGGGCTGGAGCACCTTGGGTTTCTGGATCAGTCCATCGGCCTCGCGGACGCGTCCCCGGACGATGATGGCGACCAGGGCCAGCGTCTGCAGGAACAAAAAGGGACGGTGGTAGTGCATCCTCATGATATTGTGTGTTGCCGTGTGCTGTTCGATGCGATGCGATGCGATGCAAAATCGGTTCGATGGGGAACGATGGCTCACTCACTCTGGCTCTTTCGCTGGCGGATGATGCGTTCTGCCAGAGCGCGATCGGGGGCACCCCTTGCTAGGACTTGTTCGTACTCGTACTCGCACTTTTTCTCGTAATACCAGTCAGTTCGTAGGGCACGTACAGTACGGTACGGGCGACTGGATCACTGAACTGACTTGGAAGAAACAAAAAAGGCCTGCTGTTCCTGGAAAAGAATACCACCGTACGGTACTAATTCTGTTTGGGTTCGAGAATTCTGGTTGCTCGTACTCGTACTCGTAGTTGTATTGTTCCTGCCATCTGTGTGGGAAGACACAGACGTAAGTACGATCGACGATGATAGCCCAAAAAACAGACGGAACCCGATGAGAACAAGCGATGATAACAATCGGAACAAGAATGTAACCGATTTTCTGGAAGATTGAAGCAAGAATTGTGAACAAGAATTCCAGTCTGCGGCAGGAAAAACTGAACTTGGTAGGATGTTGTACCGTACAAGAGTACTAGGTTGCTCGTACTACGAGTACCAGTTCCTACGTTAACAAGATGTCAACCTTTAACGTCCTTTCGAAACGGGCAATTTGAAGTTGGGGAAACCGCGAAAAAAATCGGGGTGCGAGTTAGTTGAAGAGTGTACGGGTGACGTTTGTGTTTTTTTGAGACAGTTCGATTCGATATCAATCAATTCAGGGGAATTATGCATCATGAAAACCCTTTCTGATAGGGGGATTTCATCTCCCTTTTCAAGTTCTATGCAAATTGACGCCAATGCATTTCCGTATGGTACTCGTATGTATCGTATCGTAGCACGGTATGATGTGCTTGTGGTGCTTGGATCTTGAATCGTATCGTATTCGTGACTACGTACGAGTACGAGTACAACCGTAACTGATCTTTGATCTTACGCTCCTAGCCCATGGATGTTTCAGGAGTAATCATACCGCAGATTGCGGTACATCACCGTTAGATTTTGACACGGTGGGTGGGGCACAAGGAACAACAATAATGCAACATATATCATACACGCCTCGCACCTACCACGCCCAACCGCCACCATTGACGGGGAGACCGTGAGTGTATCGTGCAGCAAAGTGGTGTTTCGGAAAGCATGGCACCGGATTCCTCCAGCACAGGTGGCCTGGAGACGTCGCTTCTGGCAGAATCGATTGCGGTGTGTGGGGGAGAAAGCAACGATGGGAGCAACCGCGGTAACGCGGATGGTTCTTCTTCGGAAATTCCCCAGGGATGCCGGTTTTCTCCCGATGGAACCTGCCTCTTGACGGCCAGGGGGTCTCGGCTCGAGATCTATAACACGCCGTACGAAGGGGAGGTGTGCACCGAGGGCGACGGCGACAAAAACGACGACGGCAACGAGAAGCGACCCCGGTGGACCCCCGCCATCACCTGCCACAGCGGAGAGTCGGTACGCTCCTACGCCTGGTACCCGCACATGAAATCCTCCGATCCGGCCACCTGCTGCTTTCTGGGTGCGAGCCGCGACTCCCCCGTTCACCTGTACGACGCCTACGACGGAAGCATCCGGGCCACCTACCGTCCCTACAACGGCCTGGACGAAATGGAATCCCCGACCACCCTCTGCTTTGCAGAGAGCGGACGGAAGATAGTCACGGGCGGCCTGCGGACCGATCGCGTCCTGCACGTCTTTGACGTCAACCGACCGGGACGGGAGCACTCGCAGCCCCTGATCCGGCTTGGAAAAACCCGGCGGTCCCGGGACGGACAGAAGGGCCTGGGATCGGCAATGGCGTACTCGGACGCCACCGGGGTCCTTGCCCTCGGGACATACTCTCCGGGATCCATCTACCTGTACGACCTCCGGACCTACACGAAGAGCGCGGTGGCCGAGATCGTCGTGTCCCCCTCGGCGACGTCGGGCGGCACCGTTTGCGTTTCCGGCCACGGGAAAAAGGGAACGACCAGGAACAAGAACAAGCGCAAGCGCTTTGCGGCTCCTGCCTCGGAGGGGGTTGAAGAGGCGCTCCCATCGATCGACTTTTCTGCCGCCAAGCTCCGGTGGTACCAGAGCCGGACCCGGGGGGGCGTCACCCAGGTGGAGTTCGGGGACGGCGGAACCAGCCTCTTCAGCGCGAGTCGCCGGTCCGGTGCGGTGCTCCAGTGGGACCTGCGGAAGCTCTCTTCCTCGAACGCCTGCCCCGGAATCGCCAGCTTTGCGACCGACAACGACACGAACCAGCGGATCGAGTTTGCCGTCTACGGGGATCGGGTCTGGACGGGGGGCAGGGACGGGTGCGTACGGGTGTACTCGCACCGGGGATCGAACGGGAACAGCAGCAGCAGCAGCAACAGCAGCAACAACAGCAGCAACAACAACGTCTCGCTGTTGGCAACCATCGGTGGCTTTAAGGATTGTGTGAACGGCATTTCCCTTTGTCCCGACGTCGACGGGCACGTCGATGGCAGCACCGGCACAAACACCATGCTCCAAAATTTGCTCTCCACGGGCGACAGCGACGACGACGAGCCCAAGAGCAACGAAACGGGTGGTCTGGGGAAGGCTCTTCTTGCGGTTGCCATTGGATCGAGGCACTTTCCGTCGGAAACCGATTGGGAGAACGAAGATCCTCATGCCTCTTTGACGGAACGGATCAACCATTTTGTGGGTTCGACACAAATATATTCCGTCGTAGCTCCGTGAGACATGTGTACGCAGCTGTTGTGCTCGGTGCGTTAATCCGCGATGCCATCCGAACAATGCATTGTCTGGATGGCAGATTGTTCTCGTGTGTGTTGCCGGTGTGTCGCAACCTGCAGCCTGTAGAAACCGAGATCAACGAGCATGCTCTGACTCCGCAGAATCTGATTACGCACGGGAACTGCGCAACGCATGTCCGAGGATGAACAAACAGTGATCAGGTAGTCACTGCAAAATCCTGAGGCCACTTAGAAGAAAAACTATGTAACCACTGCAAGATTAAAGGAAGCGAAGGACAAAATTCAAGGATGGGAAGAACAATTATCAGGTCCCACTGCACCGTCCAACATAGCTTTACATAAGAGACCATCCAATTGTCGTTTTTCCCAAACAGTGGAGCATGGAATTATGTGTTCTTCCAACCAGTGATAGACTTTTTACAACCAGATGGGATTTACACTTCGGGTTGTGACCTAAACCTCGGTGATTCCATGATCACAATTATAAAGTTGGCACACAGAATTTTCAAAACATTTTCTATTTTCTATACTCTTTAAGTTTATGTTACTGTATTTCTTCCTCGGTCTATGATGGGTTGTTGTGTGAAATATGCGCAATGGACATGGTAAATCTATTCCATGTACTTCATCTCTATTAATATGTGGACTTCAGTTGGTTCTCTCCGCTGTGGATTTCCAATATCCCTGATTCGTTTCTTTATGCAGATCGGGCCGCAACCGTTGTCTTTGGCGGCTTGTTTCCGCTCTTGTCAATCTTGAGCTTACTAAAACTCTTCACGAGACTGCTCGAAAACTTGTCGAAACCGTTCTGCTTGGGTTCGTTCAGCGTCTCCGCTCTCTGTGTTTTGATTTGAGCCACCTCCAAGGCTCTCTTGATGATTTGCTCTTCCGTGTATCCCGCATCGAGCAACATCTGAGACCTCTTTTGAACGGGGATGACGAGTTTCTTTCTGCCATGACGGCGCTGCATCCTCGTGTACTCGTACAATTCGAGGTTGCGTGTGTACGATCCCATCGGTTCTGTTCGATCAATCAAGAGGCAACGACGAAGACATGAGGAATCAATGGTTAGTAATTTTCCAGAAGCCTAAATTAACAAAACGTATTGAATACATACACGCACACATCTATCCTAAATTTGTGGATGCGAAAGGAAACTTACTCCAGTCTATTGTGATTGGAGCTCCGGAACATGATGGGTTATCTCCTAATATGATGGGGTATTCGGTAATAGTGAGGTCTCCAAATCTAACTTGCTTGCTATCTGATGTCATGGTGTTTTCGTTGTGGTATCTTGAGGCTGTGTCTAGCGAAGTATGTTTGCTTTGTGTTGTGAGCTTTGTGATTTGTTCAATTATTTTTTGTGTCAACTGTTGTGTCTTGATGCAAAGAAAAAACTTCGGGGGACAGAAAAGGCTCCGCGGTAGAACAAGAGTGGCAAACTTGTGCGAGCAGTTTGCCGGTGTAACGTTATGCGATACCGACACATGTCAAAGCAGCACGAAGTCTCTGGAAAACCGCGGTGACCGGGTTGATTACAACGTGGCTCTACAATGTGACCCCGTGGTACAAAGATTACGCAGAGGTCAGCCGGAAAAGTTCTAGTTTTAAGATAAATTGCGAATCGTTCGACTGAAAAACCCTTAACAACCCCAATGACCATACTTAAATAGATTTAACAACAATTTTTTTATCTTCGAGAGAGACGTTTTCCGTCTTTTTGATTCGATTTATCATAGGCGTTAGGTGGTTTGAACACTTATACCGCCGAGTAATCTGATAGACCCATAGAGTTTGTTTTATCGAAGAAGCAAGAATTCTAGTGACTAGAAGTATTGAAGTGTTTGTGGTCTCCGGAAACATTTGTGCAGTGCTAGTATGTACGGTACATCTTTTCTGTTCGAATTGCTTCGCAGCACGATACAAAACCTAAATGACCCTGGGACGGGTACGAGTACGTACGTACTTATTCTCTTCCATTCAATCAAGGCCTATGTCCTGCGGAGCAGATTGTGAACCATTGGACAATAAATTTGTATCGGTGGAGCGCAACGGCGATTTAGAGTCGATTCTTCTTCCCTACTTGTTAGTGAAGGTCGAGTCCGAACATGTTTGGCTTCGTTCGTAATTCCGTTATTCTTGTTGCTACCTTCTTACCCTATCAACATAGTTCCGGCACTTCGAGGAGGGGTTTTGGGAACGCAAGAACCAAATTATTGCTATCATGCTCGTGGTGGCTCGAAAGCATTCTTCTGTAGACCTCTTTCATCGCACAGCTACAAGAAGAACGAGAAGGGGAAGAAGAACGCAATCAAGAGAATTGCAGTCCACCATGGATTTAGCACTGGATTTCGAATTCCTCCGCACTCGTCACAAATGACATCAAAGCAGGAAAATGTATTACGTACGACTAGTAGGGTAGTACTTGTAGGGTGTATTTCAACCTTCTCCAGTACTAGTAGTACTAGAAGTAGTACTACTCCTACTACTAGTAGTACTTCATGTTGTTAACAGAAGAAGAAGTCGTCTTCTTGTTGCTTTGCAGTCTGATCCAAACAACAAGAATAAAATGAGCAAGGTGGGGAATATTTTTGTCACCAGCAGGCAGCTACTAGTAATGGTGCTGGCTAAAGTTTTCTTGTTTTCTTGTGTGGACACAAAAAACCAATGGTGGTGCTGGTGGTGGGGCTCTAGTAGTACTTGCCATGAAAAAATGGTTCCTTTCTTGTTGTTGTTCTTGCTGCTTGTCCTCTGCTGTATTTCCTCCTTTTCTTTCATTCTTCTTTCTACTATTCTTCTTCTTTTGAGTCCAACGCTTGTTTCTTGCACATATTTTTTTGTTTCGGTGGGTTCTCTAGCAGGCAGAGGAGGAGGACCAGCCAGCAGCCAAAGGATGAGGAAGAATGTTGTTCTGGTGTTGGTGATGTGTAAATCCTCTGGGACAAAAATGAATACTACTAGTACTACTAGCAGTAGTAGTAGTACTACTACTACTACTAGTACTACTACTAGTAGTAGTACTAATATTGAATTTTGTGGCACCATCATCATTGGTGATGTTGCTTGATTGCTCAATCTTGCTGATACTACTACTACTATGTACTAGCAGTAGCTAGTAGTAGTAGTAGTAGAACTAGTACTAGTAGTAGTGCACACTAGATCAAGCTCCTTGCACTCCTTGATAGTACTACTACTAGTAGTAGTAGTAGTAGTAGAAGTAGTAGTAGTAGTAGAAGTAGCTACTAGTAGCAGTACTAGTGCTAGTAGGTAGTAGTACTACTAGTAGAGCACACTACTACTAATAGTAGTAGCAGTACTACTATTACTACTACTCCTTCTTGTCCTGTTACTACTACTACTACTAGTACTACTAGTATAATTCAAGGATTTCATGATAGTAGGACATCACTCCTTGCTCTGTCGTCATAAGAAGAAGCCTACCACTAGTCTGCACATTTACTAAAAATTACAAGAAAAGTGAAGTTTAATTCTAGTAGTAGTACTACTAGTAGTAACCACCAAGACGAAGTTGTTCTTCTTCTTGTTGGTGCTGCTGTTGCTGTTGTTGAAACATCATGCTGCTGGTCCTCCTGGTTGTTGTGCTGGTGCTGGTGAGGATGAGGATGAGGATGAAAGTTTTCAATTCTTGTTTTTGCTGCTGCTGGTTTTTCTTGTTGTTCTTGCTCCTCCACCAGAAATTTATTTTTGGTGGCTGTAAGAACAACAACAACAACAAGGAGGAGCAGAACAACAAGAACAAGAACAGCAGGCGGCTTCTTTTGCCTGCTGGTGGAGGAGGGAATATTGCTTCTAGTAGTAGTACTAGTACTAGTAGTACTACTACTAGTAGTAGTAGTAGTTGAAGGTAGAAGAATCTCCCCACAAGAATGAAAAAGGAGAGGGTGCATGATGCTGGTTGATGGCATCTTGGAGGAGGAGCTCAAGAACAAGAAGAAGAAGAGGAAATTTCAGAAGGGATCGTGCTTCTGCTACTTTTTTTTATCATTCATTTTCAGCACTGCTACTAACGCAACGTACCGTACCGTACGTACGCACCGGTATCGTACGTTACGGTCCGAGACACGAACGAAGCCCGGAAGCCGCCGAAACGGCAGGAATTCCGCGGTTTTCGTCCAATCTCGCCGAAGGTTGGGGATACTTGCATCCAACCCGGTAGTACACCAAGAGTGTCATTCTATACGTACGGTACGGTAGTACTGTGTCACCAGGGAGTCTTCCAGGGCGCTTCCCGTACGACAGCATTCGAACGAAGGCGTTGTCTCCCACGATTGGAAGCTTCCTCCCCGCCGACGCAACGGGTGAAAGAACGTTTCTGTTTCCCGGTTTTGGCTTTCCAGAACGGCAACAGCAACAGCAACAACGACCGTAACATTACCGACAACGGCATCGATCCCTGCACCGGCAACCAAACCCCCCCCTTGGCAGCGGCACTATACGACAACACACGACGCGACACGACAACACACGACACGACACGGGCTGTTACGCGGTTCCATCCACCATGGCCGACCAAACCTCGGACGACAGCGACCTTTCCGATGCCCTGTCGGTCCTCGCCACCGCCTCGGACCAGGATTCCGTGGACGGCGTGGACCTTGGCGGTGCGAGCGCGACCCGGAGCGAGCGGACGCACGACGACGACGACGACGACGACGGCCGCATCGACGACTTTTTTCGGGCGATCGAAGGGGAGGGCGAACGCAAAGGCGAACGCGAAGGCGAAGGCGAGCGCGAGGGCGAACGCGGGGGCAGAGGGCCGGGCCGGGGGAGGACCGCTCCGGGAAGGGCACCGGTCCCCCCCGGGCCGAGCGCGCACAGCCGGCAGAGCGCCGAGAGCAGCCTCCGGAGCACCGACTCGGGGGCCTTGCACTTTTCCCCACACGGCCCCTTGGCAGGGGAGGGAACGAGCCTCCACAGCCGGCAGAGCGCCGAGAGCAGCCTCCTCAGCACCGATTCGAAAGCCTCGGTGCGGGCCAAGCAAGACCTTCGATCGGGTGCGGGAGCGGAACCGAGCAGCCACAGCCTGCGGAGCGCCGAGAGCAGCCTCAGCACCGATTCCAGGGTTCTTTCCCAGAGGAAGCAGAAACAGAAACAGACGCCAAGGACAAAGACAAGGACGAAAACGAAAACAAGGACAAAGCCCGAAGGACCCACCGAACCGAGCACGCACAGCCTGCAGAGTGCCGAGAGCATGCTCAGCACCGATTCGAAGGCTTCCGCGCGGGCCCGGACCTCGGAAACGCTCGGAACCCTTGGAGCGGGAAAGAGCGGGCAAAGCCGAAAGAGCACGAGGGGCATTGTTATCCTCCCAACCACCGATTCGAAAGCCTCGGTGCGGAGCCTCCACAGCTTGCAGAGTGCGGCTAGCATTCTCAGCACCGATTCCACGCGGGCCCGGACCCATGGAACCACGAAGCACCACGGAGTGGAACCGAGCACACACAGCCTACAGAGCGCACGCAGCATCCTCAGCTCGGAATCGAGAGATCCTTTGCGGGTTCGGGTCCTCGAAAAGCTCAAGCCGGAGGCAGGGATCGAGCAGAGCGTGCACAGCCTACAGAGCGCACGCAGCATAAGGAGCTCCCCGAGTGCAAGGAGCTCACAAAGCATACGGAGCAAGCCACAGCACCACGAAGAGTTTGCCGACAGCATACGGAGCATACAAACGCACAGCACGCGGAGTGGGCGCAGCAAGCGGAACGACGAAAACAACGACAACAACGATTGCGACAATGACGACGTCGAGAACGACAAGGATGGGATTGCCAACAACGATTCCAGCAGGAGTGATTCCAAACGAAAAGCGATCATCGCGGGTTCCAGGAGTGCCTACGTCGAAGACGATCAGGAGTCGTCGTCGCACTCACACAAGTACAAGTACGATCCCGAGAAAGAATTGGCCGTTGCCAGGCCCGTCCCCCTGGACGACGACCTCGAGAGGAACATCCATGTCTACAACAAACTAGACGTGAAACAAGTCGCAACACCGGCATTCGAATACGATCCCGGCGACATTGGGGACAAGAAATCCTGCTGTCGTCGGTATGCTCTGCTTCTCGGGGGATGCGCCATGCTTTTGATTGCTTCGATAGTTTTGCTCGTGCTCTTTCTGGTGCTTCCAAAAGTCGGCCTTCGTGCGAGCGACAAGGAATCGAACCTACCACCTTCGGTGGCCCCCACCGATTCGCCAACGGCGTTTTCACAAGAAACCCTTGTTCGGGAATACCTGGCACAGAAAGTGTCCCCAAGGGTTCTCGTCGAGGGAACCCCCGAGAGCATGGCCGCCGATTGGATTCTGTACAGAGACCTGTACCGATCCGGCCTGGACAACGTGGAAGCACTGGTGCAGCGGTTTGCTCTGTCGGTCCTGTATTTTGCGTCCACCGAAAACGGTGCCAGGCCCTGGCGTTCGTGCAATCCACCACCGAGCGCACTGGCTTCTTCCGGGGAGCCGATCGCGAATGCTACCGACACCGATTCCACCGAGAGGAACACCTGTACCTTCCTCTTTCGCGTTCAGGTTGGTACGTCGATCCAATACCAAGAGGTACCCGGGAGGATCCGATGGATGTCGGATTACGACGAGTGCGAATGGGAGGGCGTAGAATGTTTGGAAAACAGAGTCCAGACGATTTCTCTCTTCGGGCGCGGTCTCGGGGGCAACCTAGACCTTCGCTTGGAAGGAGACAACGGAAACGGAAACAACGCTGGCGACGACGATTCGGGTTTCTTGGTGCGGGCCTTTCCGAACCTCAAATCCATCAACCTGAGCTACAACGAGCTCACGGGAACCATACCGGCTTTTTACGCCGGCTTTTCCAACCTTGCGTCTCTGGAATTGCACGGGAATTCGTTAACGGGTGAAATCCCGCCCTCGTGCTTCGACGACCTCCGTCTTTTGCAGCTGCTCAACCTGGGCGACAACAACCTGGGCGGAACGATCGGCACCAAAATCGGTCAGCTGAGTGGCCTCAGAGGCCTCCACCTCTTTCAAAACAATTTCGGGGGGACCTTTCCAACGGAAATCGGAACCCTGAAACCCTCGTTCACGCACCTCACGCTCGTCGGCAACGAGTTTTCGGGGCCCCTGCCGACCGAAATCGGGCGGCTGACAAACCTGGTCGACCTTCAGTTCTCGAACAACAGGTTCACGGTAAGTTAAGTTAGGTTTCGTGCGTGCGTGCGTGCGTGCGTGCGAGAACAACCACAACAAGGAATGGTGGATCCAGCCAAGCGAGCTCGTTGCGCTCGCTCTTTCGAAGACTCACCCTGTTTTTCGACGACCGCAAAAAAACATCGATTCAGGGGGTCATCCCGACGCAGTTTGGCCAGCTCACCAAGGCGGAAACGCTTCGGTTGGATCACAACCAGCTCTCGGGCAGCATTCCCACCGAGCTCTGCTCCATGGAAAGCGCAAGGGTGATCATGCTGGACCACAACAACCTGGTGGGACCCCTCCCTTCGGCCGAGCTCCCGCAACTCGACCGCCTGGTGAGGTTCCAGGTCAACGAAAACCAGCTGACGGGTCCGCTCCCGAGCCAGCTGGGGGGCATGCCCAGCCTCCGCCTGGCCTGGTTGCACCTGAACCTCTTCACCGGCGCCATGCCGTCGGAGGTCTGCCTCGCGGCCAGCGTTCCGGACACGGGCCTGAACTTTCTCCAGGCCGACTGTGCCCCGACCGAAAACCCACCCAACCCGTGCCGGTGCTGCAGTGCTTGCTGCGACCGTTCCACCGGGATTTGTTTGACGGCTATGAATTGAATCGAATCGAATCGGTAGGGTCGAGCCCTCCGTCCCGCCACGAAAAGCGTTGTAGGTTTTGTAATTGTTCCATTCAATAGCTACTCATTGCAAAAGTGCGTGCTACAGCGTTCGTATCTAGTCGATGGTTTGTTTATAGCTAGGGTGTTTGTTTGTTTGGAAAGGGCTATTTCGTACAGCGGGCTTGCCGGATAGATGTTCTGTTTTGTGCAGTGTGGGTACAATCTGGTTTCGGGAGCTCCCGCTTGGGCTGGACAAAGCGGGGCGTTATAGACCGGCGATCGTTCTCACGGAGTGGCCCGCCGGCGGGGCCGACAGGTGTTTCAGGAAGTAGTCCGAGATTCTCTGTTCCATGTAGATGCGGTCCCGTAGCCTCCGGGGCGAGTGCCGCTCGTCCGGGAAGAGCAGGAGGTCGTAGTCCTTTCCGCTGGCGATCAGCCGGTTGATCAGGCGGGCCGTGTGCCGAAAGTGCACGTTCTCGTCGATGAGGCCGTGGACCAGCAGGAGCTTCCCCTTCATGTTCGGGACGTGGTCAAAGACGGCGGACTCCCGGTACCCGCTGGGGTTCTCCGACGGCAGGCCCATGTACCGCTCCGTGTAGTGCGTGTCGTAGCCGTCCCAGGACGTAACGGGGGCCCCGGCCACGGCAACGTGGAAGACGTCCGGGGCCCGGCACAGGCACATCGCGGCCAGGTAGCCACCGTAGGACCATCCGTAGATCCCGACCCGGGCCGGATCGGCAAAGCCCCGGACCGTCAGCTGCCGGACGGCGGCGACCTGGTCCAGGACCTCCAGCCGGCCCAGCCGGTGCGAAATGGCCGACTCGAAGGCGAGGCCGCGCCGGGAGCTCCCCCGGTTGTCGCACTTGACGACGCAGAACCCGAGGGACCGGAGCCTCTGGGCCCTCATGTCGGCGCACTGGCTCCAGCTGCGGTTGACCCGCTGGACGTGGGGCCCTCCGTAGACGGCGCAGACGAGCGGGTAGGGTCCCGGCCCGTGGATGCGTGGGTCGGGGCGGTAAAAGGCCGCGTGTAGGGACTCGGCTCCGTCCGAGGACGGAAAGGTCATGAGTTCCGGGGCCGCCAGGTTCGATGCCCCATCGGGAGACGACGACAGAGCTTTCTCGTCGCGGCGGGCGTCGTACAGGGTGTGGAGGAGCTTTAGCCCGGTGGCTCCGGGACTCGTTTCACCACCACCTTCGGCCACGGTCTCCGTCCCCGGTTCGGAAAAGGAAGGCACCGGCGCAAAGGGCCCGCCCACCGGCACCCGGAAGATCTTCACGGAGGTGGGCCGGTCCAGGTCCGACGACGTGTCCACAACCAGGGTGCAGTCCGGATCCATCACCACGCTGTGCATCCCCCGCTCCTCGGTAAGCCGGAGGGGGTTGGCCGCGGGAAGGTTGTGGTCTTTGCCCGGGTGCCTCCCGCGGAGGGATCCGGACGTCCCGCCGGTGCCGTGCCCCGACCGCTGCTGCGACGACGACGACGACGCCTTGCCCGCGAGGGCGTTCATGACGTGCTTGAAGCCCCGCCGCACGCCGTTCGGGTGGCCGGGGGGAGACGGAGGGGAGAGGCCCTCCGTCTCCATGGAGGCATCGCCGCCGCTTCCCCCCGCAGGAAGGGTGGCCCCGCCGCCGGCGGAAGCGCTGCCCCCCATCGGAACGACGATCGGCAGGGCGTAGAGGTGGCGCTCCAGGACCGAGTCGTACGTGCCCGTGACGTATACCGCGTTGTGCTCCAGGCTGACCCCGGCGATGCCCTCCACCGCCCAGTCCCCGGCCGAGACCTGCCGGACCAGCATCGCCTGCCCGCCGTTCACGCCGGGGACGTAGGTGTACAGGTAGAGGTGGGAATACCCGGACCGCTCGCTCCCAAACAAAAAGGAAAAGGATCCCTCCGGGAGGGGGTCCGGCAGCGGGGGCAGAAAGCCCGCGTTCGAGCACTCCCGCGGGTGGATCGGTCGGTCCAACACCCGCAGCAGGTGGTGGAGGTTGATCCAGATGTCGGAGCGCTCCACCAGCAGCGTCCGTGCCTTGCCCGTGGCCAGGTCCATCCGCACCAGGACGAGGCAGTTCTGGGTCCGGTTCTGCCACTGGGCGCAGGCCGATCCGTCGGGCAGAAAGTCGAGGCGGGCCAGGTACTCCTGGGCCTCCCTCGGCGGGTAGAACCACCTGGCCTCGCGCCAGTTGTGCCGAACCATCGTTTCGCGGGGATCCTGGTGCGTCGGTGCCGCTCCGAGGCCCCCTGCGGCCGGGGCGGGCTCTCCCAGCAGGGAGGCCGCGTCGACGCGGACGTAGGCGAGTTTCACGGTCGGGTTCGCCTTTCCGGCAAAGGGGTATCTGTGGTCCTCGTACATGCAGGATTCGGTGGTGGTCGTTTCGCACTCGTGGTGGGTGATCCGGTACGGCGGGACCTTGGATTCGTCGACCCTCGCAAAGACGATGCCCCCCGAGTCGGGGGACCACCAAAAGCCCCGGTACCGGTCCATCTCCTCCTGGGCCACGAAATCCGCCAGTCCGTGGGTGATGGAGTGCTTGAGGTCGGCCCCAAAGGTGACCTGGGTCGGCGGGCGGCACTCGTGGCAGGGCGCCACAAAAATCTCGCCCATGACGCAAAAGGCAAAGAGCCGTCCGTCCGGGCTCAGCTGCGGATCGATGGCCGACGTCTGCATCGGGAGGGAGACGAACTGCTGCGATTGCCGCAGCACGTGTTCCATCGAGTGTTTGTCGTAGACCACCCGGAGGTGGGAGGTCGATTCGATGATTCCGTCCTGGACGTACAGGCTCCCCCGTATCGGAACGAGTATCCGCAGGGTGTTTTTGTGGTTGTGCGTCCATGTGAACTGCGTCAGACCCCCCGACGAATGCATCCGCTGCCGTTCTCTGCGGAGGCGTTCTTCCAGGGAGAGCGAATCCGTTGCGGACGACGGCGAGGCCAGCGTCGTTGCCGCCAGCGCGGCGGTTGCCGAGGTAGACGGCGACGGCGACGATTGCACCGACGGTGTGGACAGTATGGAAAAGGCCGATGGTGATGATGAAGATGCTGATGACGATGATGATGATTGTTGGTGGTGTTGCTGTTGCTGTTGCTGGTAGTGGTGGTCGCTGTCGTGCCGCCGTTTCGTGCGCAGCCGGAGCAGGGGCCGGGTCTGGAAGGTCTCCAGGTCCAGGGCGCAGAGCTGCCGCTCGCTGGACGAGACCATCGCCGCCGTGATGGCCGGGTCCACTCGAGGGTTTGCCGCCGCGTTTCGGAGCCGCCGGCTGCTGGTCTGGGAGGCGGAAGTCGACGACGGCGGCGGTTTCACCGATTTGGAGACAAAGACGAGGTACTTCGACGGATGGGACTCCCGCGGGCTTCCGCTGCTGCTGCTGCTCTTGGGACTGAACTCCATGGCGGTGGGACTCGACAGGCCTGGTGCAAAAGAGAACAAAGGAGGCATCGGGGGTGAGCTGAGCTTTTGTGGCGGGAGCGATCCAACAACCAAACCAAAATCGAATCGAAACAAACCCCAAAACGAACACCGGATCGTTCGAACCGGCAACACAAGCCTCCGATCCTTCCGTTTCGGGCCCCGCCGCAACAAGAAAACGAAACACCACGAGTCAAAACGGACCTGGGGGTGGAAGCGCGGCGACGGCCTCGGCCGTCAGGTTTTGTGGCAGCGCGTAGTGGGATGGCGGACCCGGCGAGGGATGGTGCACCGGAGCGGAGGCCGTTCCGGCGTGCGCGTGGTATTGTTGTTGTTGCTGCTGATGTTGTTGCTGCTGTGGCGGGTAGCTCCCGTTCGCCCCGCCGTGGCCGTGGTGGATGCCACCGCTGCTGCTGCTGCCGTTCGGGTGGCAGGAGGGATAGCGGTGGTGGCCGTGGGTCGTTCCGGCATCGGCGGAGGATCCCCCGCGGAGGACGCCGGGGTTTGCCGCCGCCGACGACGTTGCCCCTGCCCCGAGGGACACGCCGAGGCCTTCCGCGGTCCGGTCGCTTGCCCCCCCGTCCGTTCCCGGAGCGGGCCGGGACAGCGAGGACCTTCCGCCCCGCCGGTTCGGCTGCAAAAAGTGCCCTACCATGCTATCTATGCCTGTGCCTGTGCTTCCGCGGATGCAAATTCGGATGCGACTGCGAACTCGAATGCCACGGCGAATGCAATGCCAACCCGAATGCTTTGCGGCGGTTGGGGTCTGCGTCGATCGGCCTTTGCCCCGGCACCGGAAACAACTCGGTTAGGGTTTTGGAGGGGAGCTCGGTGATCGAACGGACGCCATGCAGTGCTTGCGAGACTAGACCTTGGCGGGGTGTGGAATGTTACAACCAATGCAGTACCGTGCGATGCGATGCGATGCGATACAGAAGGAACCAAACCGCGGCGTTTCGGATCCCGGTGGATCGCTCTGGATGGTCGGATTCGGATTCGGGTTTGTCGGAAGGACACCGGTGGGTTGGGTGTTGGGACAGCGGGGTTCGTGCTTGTTCGTTGCGACAATTAGTGACTGACTGCCAGGGCGTCCGTCGGAAGCAATGGAATTGGAATTGGACCCCGAACGAAGCAAAACACCCCTCCGGTTCGTTCGTACCGGTTCGTACGAGGACCGTATCGTACTTGTACTTGTACTCTACTTTACAAGGCTCTGCCGTGCCGTGCCGGCGGAATGAAGGAGGGCAGGGCTGGGGTTTTCGTTTACTCGTACGTACTGGTACTCGTACCTTACACCGTACTCCACCCCATAGGAATTGCACGAACGCACAGGTATGTTGCTATGCGGGTACGTACTCGTGCTCGATAGGACCGTGAAACGTGCTCTTGCGGACCGTACGTACAGCACGTGGGAACGCCAAGAAAATTCGCAACGGAACGAATGCGAAGACCGGTACATGTACATGTACAAGTACCGTACAGTTCTTGCTACGGTACGAGTACGTACAGACAGTACGACCATCAACAGGAACCTGATCGATCTCACCATACGTGCGGAACGTACGGTACATATGTACCCATCGATGGACCTCGCCGATGATCCTTCATCCTTCATTATTCTATTCAATTCGCGATAAAAGCAGGTATTGGGAAGCCGAACAACAAGCATCCTTAATACTAGTAGTTTAATCAATTATTGGCACTGCTAGTTCTACTAGCAGTAGTACTGGTAATAGCAATAGAAGTTTCACACAAAAAACAATACAGTATGCGTGAGCGTACTACTACTAGTAGTATTGCTTGTTGCTCATTTGCCTCTGTGGTGAAATTGGTTGTGCTTGTTCCGTGATGTTGTTGCTTCCTTCTCCTCCTCCTCCTCCTCCTCCTCCTCCTCTTCTTCTTCTTCTTCTTGCTACAACCGACACCTACTAGCTAGTAGGAGTACCAGAATGACATGATTGTTTTCTTTGCCAAGCAAGAAGAATGCCCCAGCACCAATTGGGAAACAAGGCCGGCAATGCAGATGCCACAACAACGCACTGGTAGCTACTAGTACTGCTAGTACGTTCAGGGAACTTGCTCAACGAAGCCGAAGCGACGAGAAGAAGAAAAGAGAATGCGGGAACAACAACGACCACCATCGGGGAGTTCTTGGTGTTGCGCTGCGGAACTGCCAGTACAAGCAGCAAGAACAACGGAGAATTCTCTCGTGCGCGCCTTGGATGCGATGCTGCGGGAGACGTTTCTTTCTGCCAGCACCCGATGGTGGTTGGCCATGGATGCCATGGCGTCGTACTGGTACTACGTTCCGCATCGACCCAGAGTACTGTGCACAAGACGCAATCACGTGGGAACCAATCCGCTCCGCTTCGGGTTCCCCTCTCGCCTGTTCCTTCCCCATTTCTCGCCAGTACTGGAGAGACAGGGATTGTTTCCGACTTGATCAATACTGCGCTGCAAATTGCATACGACGAGGAAAGAATCCATCCCAGCAAAAGTCGTTCCGGCGAGATGGCAACGACTGTATCCTTTCTCCAGACACACGGCACAGTGCCAATCCTCGAAGGATCCGCAGAAAGTCCCCGGGCGAGATCTTTCGCTGAAGAAACTACATAGTGGAGAAACATGCTACGGAACCTTTTCTGCTAATATTCTTCGGTTTATTTCATTATTTCATTACATACGTAGAAAAACTCGTCCTCCGAGCCACGACCGTGCAAAAAAGACCGGGTGCGGCACGACGCACCCGATTCTTCTTGCGTTTGCTTCGGTTCTCTTTGTTTACTTCCCGGTCGCGGACTTGGCCATCTGCTTCAAGGCCTGCGTTTTCACCTCCTTGGAAACCCGGGCCTCGATTCGTTTGTCTTCCTCCTCGGCAATCTGCTCCCGGATCTTGCGGTAGGACGGATAGCGACACAGGACGTATGTGTTGAAGAGGGCGACGCCTCCCATGACGCAGGCCATCGTTCTTCCCATGATCCCGCCAAAGGCCCAGCACACCGACCCAAGGATGAGGTAAAAGAGGAATCGCCAAAAGGAGTTGAACAAAAAGCCAAAGTTCACGGCAATCATGACGCGGAGGAACTTCAGCTGGGTTTCCAGACAGCAGATCAACAAACCACCGCAGATGGTGTAGACCGCCAGGACTATGCTCGAGAGTGCCGGTATGCCGACGATTTGGAGGCTCTGCGCGCGGAAAGGAACGGACCAAAAACGACAAGAGGACGAGTGGGATGAGCGGCACGAAAGCCGAGCAAGAACAGAACACACAAACGGCTCGGAACGAAACAAACGAAACGAAATCCACCGCTGCTGGCATTCGGCCGGCAACACACCGAGACGATTTTTCCCGATCGCCGCTGCTGGAATGCGATGCGATGCAATGCACGGCACAAAGACTTTTCCCCCCATCGGAATTCCACGCGAGCGCCGTTTCGATCGCCACCCCTCGTGTCCGCTGGTTTGGATCGGATCGGATCGGACTTTTGTCTTGTGTTTGTACGTACCGAAACGACGATGAGTGCCGCGGCGGCCGCCAGGTTGAGGAGGCGCATCATCAGAATGATCGACGGCAGGTCCTTCTCGTCGGCCGCACCGGCGGTCGGTGCAGCACCCGTGCCCTCGATGCTCATCGGCTCTACCGCGGGGGCAGCGGCCGCGGGGGCGGGGGCGGGTGCATCGAGCCAGGAGGGAGATTCCGACATTGTGTTTTTATTTTTGGGTTCTGCTTGGTTTGGCTTGGCTTGGTTTGGCTTGGTTTGGTGCGAGCAACAAACAAAAGGGTTCGGTGTGGTTCTTGTTGTTTGAAATACATCTACTGTGCTACAAGTACCGTACAGTACTGTAATTAATTGTTCCCGTAGTGTCCGAAGGGGTTAGTTTTGGTTGCCGTTTGTCTTTATTCGTGTCATTTTCCACGGGTGAGCGTGCTCGAAAGTCATCCGTTCGATCGACGACTCGACCGATTGAATCCAATTCAATTTTTTAATCATTTTTTTGATCCGCTTCGGGCCTGGATCCCAGAAGCGTCACCCGAAAAACAATTTTCGTCTTTTCCTGGTACCGTAAGGTACGTACCGTAATGTCTAATGAAGGAAAGTACGTACGTACGGTACCTACCGCATCGCATGGACGGAATAGATTTGTAGTGGAGTGACAGTGCGGCATGTTGATATGATTTCTTCTTTTTTTGCTTCCTCCTGATCCCAGAGGGCAGCCTCATGATCCTTCTTCTTCTTGAACTCCTAGTACAAGAAGGAACGACATGCGATGAGGGGGAATACTGCTGGTGACATCCACGAGGAGGACGAGGAGGAGGAACATGTCAAGAAGAATAAAAATGGCGGTGCTGGTGGTGTCAAGAAAGAGCGACTGCTGCAGTGGTACTACTAGAAGTACTCTGGTGTGCCAAAACACACCATGCAGCGTAACATTGAATCTACATGTAAAGTAATATGTAGTTTTCGGGGAAGAGTACCTTGTGCCTTAGCCTGTAAAGCTACTAGCAATAGCAATAGCTACCAGTAGATGTATTCCAAAGCATTCCAAATATATTTACACCTGCATCTATAGATATGCTGATTTTCAACAGCTTGCACTATGGTTCAAAGTGAGTAATATAAGCAACTCAGCGTTATCAACAATCACCATTTTGATCACAGAATTTGCCAAACCTCGTCGTCATGGTGGCCTTTCCTTTGCGAACCCTGATCAGGGCAATGCCCCCAATTTTCTCACGTACTCCTTTGTAAAACTAAGGGATGAGACCCCTGACAATCCTCCACTCATAGTTTGTATCAATGATTTTTTTTCTCATGGGAGAAGCACGACTAGGGGCTACTTCCCGTCCATATTTTTTATGATGATAAACGTATTATATGATTCCAAGCAATGAATCATCAATCGTGCGAAAAAGCGTTACCCTTTCCGCAATGCTGGTCATCGTTTGCGAGAAGCCCTGATCATTCATCTTGAGAAATGTGTACAAGCAGATCAAACGCGAAGGACCAACAATTATTCTTAATCAGATGAAGGTCTCGATCGTAGTCTTCGCAAAACCGAACAGCTTTTTCCACATACGTTTTGGTCAACTCGTCGCCATCACCATCCCACTTGCCGGTAAAATCAGTACGAACTTCCGCTTGGCTTTGGTTTTTCTGAATTGTCCGAACGATCGCTGGTACCGCTTGCAAGCCTGTCAATCTCTGAATGGTCTGCTTGGATGCTGCGTTCAACGGAATGAAATCGAACACGTATCTATCACCCAAAACCACTTTGCAGTGCACCGGGAGCCATTCCGGCCCTCCTATAAGCGGAGACGGCTGTATTTTCACCCGGTTGTCAAACAATGCTTGCAAGGAATGCACCGTCGACGGAGCAAGCGTTAGGATTGATACCGCGACAAATGCACGAAACCAAGAGATGACGCCTTGGCACCTCATTGATCCAAAAGACAAGGCCAACCGATTCGTCCGGCCAATGAGAGCTTGAACTTAGATGAAATTGTTTAGTTTGTCGGTGTCCTCTGTTGATATCTCTGATTGCCTAAGACTCTCTAGCGTCCATCGTCCCGGTTCGAAAGCAATCCAATGGGTTTCTCGATTTTTTCGACAACAAAACCAAGAAAGGTTTGAGACTGACTGACGAGAGTCGAAATTGAATCGAATGAATCAATGAATTTTCATGTTTGGACCTTTTTCTGCCCGGTTCAAAAGTGCGCCAAGCAAACTAGAGATCCCTCTTCGAGGTGCGCTGTGAGAACAAAACACCGAACATCACAAATCACGACCCGAACAACATTTATTTATTTCTATCCCATTCAAGTCCGAAGACGATGAGGGTGATGACTGTTCTTTTGCCTAAATACTGAAAATGCATTAAAAAGCTTTTATTAGTTTCCAGTATGTCGGTCGTCACTTAACTAAGAGAATATTGATTGTTGAGCAACCAGTTCGGGGCAGAAGCTAAGTGCCAAGGAACAATTCTAACCAACAGGTTACATTTTCGGGGGGTCGAGAACGGTAAAACAATTGCAACCTGAGTGTTCTTAGATACATATCATGGAGGGATATCTCCAACAGCAAGGGGATTTCATCAAGAGCAACCCCTTATCTTGGATTCGGGGTCAATTGAGTAGGCAATCGCTCCAGACGTCCCAGCAGGGCAGTTCGCGTAGTCAGAATGACGACGGGGAGGATTCCTCTGACCGCAACGCGCAAAGCCTGGTTGGCTCGAAGACCGCTTCAAAGACCAAGCAAGTAAAAATTTCAGACGCTTCTCCAATCGATAGGCGCGGGAAGCTTTCAGCTACGAACTCGTTCAACTCGGATATTTCGTTGGGATCGATTGGTGGGAGCAATCACTCATCAAGATCTGTAGAATTCGAGGTGCTGGTAGATTTGCACACTTCGTGGAAAGTCGTTGATAGAAGTGTTACATCTGAGTCACCATCACTTTCACAGTCCAACTCGAATGGGCAATCACAGTCGGTGTCATCGTATTTTTCCTTCGGCGAGTCTTTGGATATCTACATCCAGGATGACGAGTTCTGTTGGATACCTGCAAAAGTACTGGAATACAATGCAGATCATGCTATTGTTGCCATAAATCTACCATATAAGTGGGAAGATTCTACAATTTGGGGAGAAGATCTCCGAGTGGGGTTTGACATCCATCCGTCGATGGAAAGCATGGCATTCGAAAAGATGGACCTTTTAGCAGTGGAAAATCAGGTTTCGTCTAGCATGCTTCGAAAGGTATATTACAAGGATTACGAATTGGGAGAAATGCCAAGACAAAACATCGATGAGTCGAGCAATCAAAATACGCGGTTTTCTAAACACAAAACCGTATCAGACTTGGCAGATTTGAAAGAGCTGAACATGGCAACAATATTATATAATTTGAAAGAGCGTCATTTCATTCAGAAGCCATACACTCGCGTGGGTGACATCTTGATTGCAATGAATCCCTTCGTTTGGCTTGACGACTTATACTCAGTCAAAAAACGAGATATTTATTATCAAAATCTCATATGGAATAGTATGTTATCAAAATTGTGAAAGGAACAGATGAATTCGGCAAGCAAAGTTTCTCTCAGAAGATCTCAACAATTTTTTTCATCTCTTTTCTCTTGACAAAAATAGATACCCAACAGGATCAAATACCAGGTTTGACACAAAGTATTTACAACAGACTGGGCTTCGACCCTCACGTATACGAGATATCCTCGCTAGCGTACAGAGACCTTGCCATTTCAAACCAGGGTCAGACAATCCTAGTGACGGGAGAATCTGGAGCGGGAAAAACTGAGACGGTGAAAATTTTGATGGATCATCTCGCGTGCGCACAGCTCTCGCGACCTGCATTAAATGATGACGCACAAAGCCGTACAACTACTTCAAGTGATTCAAAAGATATTATCCATCGGATAATTCAATCGTCGCCCGTCTTTGAAGCCTTTGGGAATGCAAAAACTATTCGGAACGATAATTCATCCCGGTTTGGAAAGTTCATTCAATTGCAATTTGCAATTGAACCAAGGGCTGTAGCGAGGCGTGAAGGTCGAGATGTTCCCTACACTGAACTGTTTGGAAGTAGAGTATCCACTTATTTGCTTGAAAAAAATCGAGTTGTATTCCACTCGGAAGGGGAAAGGACATTCCACATCTTTTATCAACTTCTTGCCGCACCATCTGATTTCAAGCAGGCTATGTGGCCATTCTTCGGTGATCTTGATGCAAACGATTTTTTGTATACTGCTGAATCTGCGGATGAAACAAATAGTGAAGATGAGCATGAGTTGTGGTCGAAGACAAAGAAAGCACTTGAAACATTCAAGGTAAAAAATGTTTCATTAACTGTTCTCATGCGAGCCCTGGGTATAGTTCTTCAACTCGGAAATTTGGTTTTCGAGCATGACTCTTCGTCAGAATACGAGCAATCGACGATCATTTCAAGTAAAGACCAACTCGAACGACTTTCTGAAATGATGGGTGTCGAAAGTCATGATCTACAAGAAACAATCACGTCTCGGACTTTAAGAACACCTAATGAGGAACCCATCAAAGTGCAGTTGACGCCTGAAGTTGCAAAGGAAGCTTGTGATGGACTTGCAAAAGAGATTTATGCAAGAATTTTTGAGGCAGTGGTACAACGAGTCAATAAATATACCATGCCAAATGAACAAAATGTTGATAATGAATCTGGTACACTGAAACAGATTTCTTTATTAGATATATTTGGATTCGAAAACTTTGAGGTGAACAAATTCGAGCAGCTTTGTATAAACTATTGCAATGAAAAATTACAAGGCAGATACGTGGTAAGTTGTTTACTCTGATTCATGCTTAATGCCTGTATCATTTTGATTGCCGTCGTCTTACTCACTATATTATTTCTTAAAGGAGGACAACTTTCATGAAATCAAGGATCAATACATCGAAGAAGGTGTTGATCTTTACGACTTCAAGCTAGTGGATAATTCTGATATTCTTCACTTACTAGAAGGAACGCATGGTTTAATCACGATATTAAACGAGGAATGCTTTAGACCGAAAGGAAATGATGAATCATTCGTTTTTAAGGCAAAAAAGAGACATGTGGGATCCACTGGGAAATTGATCGACAAGAATTTGCACACGCGAACGGAGTTCGATATCAATCATTTTGCTGGAAGCGTTTGCTACGATGCTCAGAATTTCGTTTTGAGTAACACAGATAAACTTCCACCCGATCTCATTGCCTGCGCAGCAAATAGTACGAATGTGATTATACGTGATGAATTCCGCAAACTACTAGTATCCGAAGAAGATGGAACAGGACCAAAGAGACGAAAAAATACCCGCAAGACCGTTCTCAGTAAATTTCAGGTTCAGTTGAACAGTCTCATGTCAGCCATGGAGGGCACAAAAATACGATACATACGCTGCATAAAACCCAACAAATCTATGATTCCAAAAATGACTGATCACGCTAGTGCGATGAGGCAGATGGAATGCTCAGGGCTTCTAACAGCGTTGACTATTTCAAGAGAGAGCTACCCACAAAGTATGGAATATGAGTTCATTTTGAATCGATATTCTTGCCTTCCAGACAACTACGAACTTTCAGAAGGCAAAGGAGATATGGAACTTCGAGAAAAGGTCAGCCATATGCTCACCAAGTGCTTGAAGCCAATATCGAGGAAAAATAGAGACGGTTCAAGAATAATGCCCTTTGCTTGTGGAAAAACAAGGGTATTTTTCAAAGCTGGAGCTCAGGACCAGCTTGAGGATCTCATAGGACAGTACTATGATACGAATGCCAGAGTGATCCAATCGTGGTGCCGAGGGTCAATGGCAGCGCGTTTGAAAATCCGGAAGAAGAAGGCTATCTACACTATACAATCATTCTCTCGTATGGCTCTGGCAATACTATATTTTCGACTTCATAGATCAGCAGCAACCATTATTTGTAACTGGGTTCGATGCTGTTTTGCTGTGGCGGTGTTGAGGAAAAGATATGAAGATTCTATTTTGGAAGCCCAACGGCAAGTACAGACCACTTACAGCAGCAAGCCGCTATCAAAAACTGATGGTCCCCACATTCTTGAAACAAACAGGGAATTCGTCTCAGCAAGCGGTTCGTCGTCGAAGGAAACACTTCAAAAGCTCGAGGAACAGATTGGCGAGCTAAGTAACATAAATATCGGGCTTACAAAAGAAATATTCAAACTTCGTCACGAGAAAAACCGAATGCGTCAGCAGCACCAATCAACTGTTGTGCAGATGTCTTCGAAATTTTCGGTACTGAAAAAAGAGTTGGAGTCCACTAATCGCAAGTACCAAAGGCAAAAACAGGGATCCGATAAAGTCATCTGTAAGGGAGAGGATAAGGATATTAGCAGAGAGATTGCCTGCTTGAAAGAAAAACATTCACTAGCCGTCATAAAGCTGAAAGACGAATTGCATGATACTCGAAAATCTCACCAGCAATACTTGACAAGGCTAGTAGATGTTCTCGAGACCACTCATAACATGCGAGAGGAGGAAATCGCGAAGATCAGTAGAGAATTAATTTCTATCAAAAAGGAGAAAGACGACAAAATAATGTCGCTGCGCAGAGAAATCAAAGCCTTGAAAAAAGCAAACACTTCGAAGCTGTCGTCATCTAATGGTGTCGGTACAAGAAAAGATACCGATGACTCGAAGCATTTCAACGACGCTGCAGCTGATTTAGAGAATTTTGTGATCCAATCCACTACTCAAGAACATCAAAACAACGCAGACGCAGTGAAACAGCAGCAAAAAATGCTCGACATGATTAGATCTCTTAAGATTTTATACCAAAATAAATCTTAAAGAAGAAACGAAGAGTCCAGACATAGAGACTACGTCGCGTGCATTGATCCGGGTCAAACTAGACAACTCAAATCACACGAGAAAACCAATTGAAATGCTATGCTTAACCAGTCACCATGATAGATAAAGATAGGGGGAAATTAATAGTGTTAACATTTTTAAATTTTTTTGGTGATAGAAATTAATGTTCTTCTGATTCTTAGTTCTCTTCCTGTCTTGAAAAATTGCTGGAGAACTATCTAAAACTTGAGTTTTCTTGACGTATATGTTATGCATTGTATTTGTGTCATGTTTGTGCGTGGAAATGCTCTGCAACGAATCATAGCAAGAGCATAGACACAATCGCTTTCATTTCTTTTTTGCTGATCGATCCTTGAAGTGAATAAGGCACCTTATCATGAAAAAACTATTCGTAGGTGCAGGGATATTGATGGAAACTGGGTCTTGGGGAAGATCCAAAATCGTTCTTGTTGTTGTACGTCCCGAAAATGTAGGACCAAAAAAGACGCCACTCTTCCCGACGAAAGATACCACATAATAGTAGGGCGTTGGTACAGAATGTCATATTTTTTCTTGCTGATTTACTTTCGCTTACTATGCAGTAGAAGCGCAAGCATTGATACCGATTATGCTACTATAATCATATCTACCATGCAACGAAACCACGTAGGTATGTGGCGCCATCTGTCTGGTGGTTACGACCACCATCTCTGTTTGGATAGTAGATCTAAAGGGGGTTAACAATCGTGCCTTCTTTCCTGGCAGATCTTTGTAGGTCGGCTTGAGTGAGAATACCAGCTTTGCGCGCTGCGTAACCGAGGACAATACCTCGTTTTTTCGAGGATTGGACGTAGCTCTTGTAGAAACAACGAATTCGGTCTCGAACTGTTACAAAACTGAATTCCTCCTCGTTGAAGACGTACTGATGTCGTGCTGCAAGATCGAGAAGTTGTTCTGTCAAACGATTGTTGTATTTCTTCTGTTGAATAGTGTAGTTCAGAGCCGAATGACGCAAATACTCTTCTCGATTGGCGACCAAAAAGGCTTCGAGTTCTATTGGACAGCAAGAAATCAAAAAAATGGAGAAAAAGCATGATCGTGAGCACATTTCAGAACGCAGTGAATCTCTAGCATTGTTGGAAAAGAAACAAGGCTCTCATCTAACTAACCTGGATAGTTTTTCCATGAAAATTTCTTCCGATGAATCACCGTGATCGATTTTCCTGTGACGGACGATTCCTCGAAGGCTTTGCGCTTGTGCTGATCCATGATGTTTGGTGGGCTCTGATTCGTCTGAGCCTGGTGGATCGTAGAAAGCTTGGGGACTTTGATTTGGCGCTTCTTTCCTTTGTGTCCCATGAGCTTGAGACTTGGTTTTCTACTTGTGCGCAGTCTCGTGTTCACAGGGCTGACAACAGGCGGCAAGAGCGAAGACTTCCTTCTTGTGGAATTCCTCGACTCCTCAACATCGGGACTTCTTCGGGGAGATCTGCATCCGTTATCGATCGAGACAGTGCGAACACGACTACATGCAAAGTCGTCATCCTTCGTCGGAGAAGAGGGAAACTCGGTAAGTGGTCTTGTATCCAGTCCTTGGTCGGGGGCAACTGAATGTTTTGAAAAAGGCACATCGTGTTTATCACCGAAGAGTTCCTTGCCACTGCTTGCTATCTCTTTTGATACAATGGTCGCTATGCCAAGTAACAATTCTACTCCTTCTTGGTCCATAGGATCTTGAGGTAGACAGACCGGTGATGCCGGTTTCATCTCGGTGTCAAGAGAGAAGGTCTGTGGAACGATTCGAGGCGAAGTGCCAACCATTGGCAATTGAAACCTCTGGGGAGTCATATTAAGGGAATAAGCAAACATGGTATCTACAATAGTACTAGGAGGAGCTATCATTCGGTTTGATTTGGCCTGGTTTGATTCGGTTCGGTTTGATTCTGTTTGACTTTAAAGTATGATCAATACCGAATTTGTTGGTTTGGTACAATACGGTAGAAAGTCTTCGGAATTTATTCCAACTCGTAGTGCGTAAACAAGATTTATTATTTGTTCCGCCATCAGTGAACGATTTGATTCAACTTTCTCGTGTTGTCGGAACCCGCAACGTTGCGTGAAAACTACGGGAAAATGGCAAAAAAGAACAAATACATGCTGATACATTGACGTGATGTCTGTCAAAATCCGAACGGAGTGCACAATGGATTGGCATTTGCATTCTTAAATAAATTCATGCTTCTCTGCCTGCGACCAACCTGGGGCTGAAGGAAACTGTAGAGTACAATCTTTCGCTCAATCATCGGTTCCCCGTTCAGTTCCCAGTACATGAAATTTTCAGATATAACGAATCGTTGCAGAGTGCTGGAAAAAGTTCAAAAGTAAATAGTTTCAAGGAAACTCCGAGTTCCTCGTCACATCAGTTCTTTGATTTCATACGGCATTTCATTTCGCACTTGCAGGTAAGTTTGTCGATGCTGCCAGCTGATCAAGACAAATCATAGAACCTGATTGGCACCTTGACATCTCAAGTACAGTAGTGCTCGTGGTGAGAAGCCACGATGATTACGCGTACCCGGAGTGTGCACTACAGGATACGTAAGTCACTGTAGCGTTTTACGCAGACTACAAAGACCTCGTAGTCGTACGAGTCGGATAGATATGACCACAATTTGATCTTGTGAAAGCAGCCAGGGCTGAGTGATTGTGAGGGATTGAACGCCTTCGGGTCCCACATATAGTTCCAGTCACGTGTTCACTTAAAAAATCACGTGCCAACTTAAAGGGAGGTCCTCTATCGAGTCACGAGGGTTTGAGGTTTGACCGTTGAAAGCAATAAATGTTTCGCTGTCTCTATGTATTCCCCTAACATTGCCAATACACCTGGTAGCGTATGGTCCGGGTGCCGTACGTTAGAGACAAAGCACTGAGTGGTGCAGAAAAATAAATATGATGGAGAATTTGTAGAAAATAATATTATGTCTCGTACCTGGTCTGGTAAGTCGTACAGTGTACCACTGTAGCGTAGCGGTATGGCATGAACTGTACGTACCGGTAACTCAACCCGGAAAAAAATCTGAAAATCCAGAATCGTCGTCCATGACACAGTGCAGTCATTATCATTAAAAAGCAAACAGGCGAAATAAATCATTTCAGAATCATTTTTCTCGTAAGCAACAACCTGGCTCGTATCGTTCTCGTAAGGAATAAAATATTGATATGGGTATGGGCTGGAAGAAGACAGTTCTTTGTCTTGCGACATTGCTAGCAGTCGTCGGCGCGGAGGAGGCGAAACGCGCCGTCCCCGACGACGCTGTCGATCTGACCGGAGATGGCACGGAAACCAAAGCAGACGACGATTCTGCTCCCATCCAATTGACAAAGTGGCTGGCTTCCGTAAAGGGTGGCTTCTTCAGTAACAAACAAGAAGTTCGTCCAATAAAAGCTGCCGGGGACGGCAAAGCCTTCCATGGGATTTTCGCCAAGGAATCCATAAGACGGGGCGAAATTTTGGCCGAGATTCCATGGGAGTTCATTATCACCGACGTCGAGGACGACCCTTCCCTTTCCGAGAATGATCTCGACGAAGCTGTATTGAAATGTGGGACTGCCAGGAACCTTGCCCAAGAAATGAAGCAAGTCCAAACCCTCGGTAAATACATCAAGGATCCCAACTCTGTATCCAAATACGGACCCTATATCCAGTATTTGTTAGACCAGCCACTTGGCTTGATTCCAAGCGAATGGTCTACTAAGGGAAAAGCATTGCTGAACGACATTTTGGGAGGATCTCGCCAGAATATTCCTCCAGTTTATGCCACGACATGGCTCGAGGAGGATTGGTTGCAGGACTGCGCAGGGGATCCTAAAGACGAGCTCGGCGCGAAGGCCGCTATGATCGTTGTCTCCCGTGCAGATGACGATCTCTTGGTTCCAGTATATGATATGTACAACCACAGAAATGGAAAATGGTACAATACTCACATGACGGTAAATCACGGGGTGAACTATCAAGTGACGGCCAGAAGGGACATTGAGGCTGGAGAACAGATCTACAATTCCTACAATATGTGCGACAACTGTGGTGGAAGAAAGGATGGATACGGAACGCCAGAAGTCTTCCGGGACTATGGATTTGTAGAAAACTTTCCACAACGATGGAAGTTTGAGGAGTTGGATATCATGATTGATCTCGACGAATCGGAGGGAGACGGGGAATTGCAAGTCACTTGGAATCAAAAACCAGACGAAAAGGAAATAGAGGCAACCCCACGACTTATCATGAAGGAACTTCGACGATTGATCAAGAAGAGGAATCAAATTTTGAGAACTGAATATGAGGATGGAAAGAGCACTATTCCTGACAAAGAATTGAACGATATCTGGGAATTCTACGACGCGACCGTCAACGCTTTGACAGCTGCATTCAATGACATTGTCGACGATGATAGTAAAAAAATCCCCGTCAGTACAGAGTCTTGTGCTGCAGATGAAATTTGTGGCTTGAACTATTTTGACGATTTGGATTGGGAAAAGGACGAGACGAAGTACAACATTCAAACTTGTGACAACAAAGAAATCATGCAATTCCCCAACTACTGGATGTTGGAGGGGCTGAAAACCCACTATCAGCAGCTCAATTTTGCGTACGGCGAATTGAATGGTGACATTTGCATGGATCTCGAAGACACGGTACAAATCTGTTCCACCTACCGACCACATTACCACGAATTTTCATCTCACTTTGCGGCACGGTTCGTCGACAATGTCAAAAACGTGGTTTTCGTCGGCGGCGGAGATTCTATGATGCTTCACGAGGTTCTCAAATATCCCTCCCTCGAAAAGGTTGTCGGCCTCGAATTGGATCAAACGGTGGTTCGAAAGTCTTTCAAATATTTCCACACCCAACCTCATTTCGACAATGACAAGGTAGAATGGTGGTTTGGAGATGCCACAAAGAGTCTTCTCTTATTGCCCAAAGATTACTGGGGCTCATTCGATCTTGTGATTGTTGATCTGTCCGAAACTGTTATGGCATTCTCTGTTACGGAAAAGCTCGATGTTTTTGATGCTCTTGCCCTCCTCTTGAATCCCGACGGAGTTATGGTCAAAAACGAACATTACATGGAGACTATGAGCGAAACTTTTGATTACACCCTACAGGTGTACCTCGATCAAAATCCAAAGATTTGCTCTCAATGCATGATTTTTGGAAGCAACAAGGCAGATTTTTTCCACAAACCTGTTGTCGAACACGGAGTCGAAACTTTGTTACTGGAGCCTGTGAAGGAATTGAAGGATGGGTATGACTATTTCCATGATGTTCGAAAAAACAATGCCATGGCTCAAGGAAAATGCGACCTAAATACTGAGGAAAAGGACGAAACGGAAGAGAAAAAGAGAGCTGGTTTGCTCCACATATTGGACGCTGAAGGTGTTGAAGTAGACCTGAACAAAGAAACTACCGAGAGAGCTATTTTGGCCGCTGCCGAGAAAGTTGGATTCACGAGAATCGAACCCAACAAAGACAAGAGTCTTGCTCCTGCAAGTACCAAATTTGATGGCAATGATTCAACGAGTACTATGGTCAATGTTGTATTCAAAGAAGGATATGCCTCTGCTAGGATTTATCCAAAATCGTACTACGCTGCAGTGGATGTAGGAGTTTGGGGATCCTTTGAAAATGGAGATGAGTTCCGGAAGCAAATCGCAAAAGAACTCAAGGCCGAGACAACTTCTTTTTTCCGTGTTGTTGTTGGTGGAATGTATGGATCAAATACCTGGGAAGTGGACAAGGATTTGATTGGTCCACAAATTGTCCAACAGCGCAATTGTGAAGTGCAAGATAAGAACGATACCGAATTGACCGACGATGTTTCGGTGAACTCTGTTCTTAATGAAGCTATGAACGTTCTTGATGCCCAAAAGTCGGTTGCTGCAGTGTTCTGCGGTGTCAAGGATGTTGATAAATGTCCTAGTTTGGACCTCCTCGAGAAAAGCACGATGGTCAGCAAGGTGATCCCTGTTTGGGCATGCCCCGAATTGTCGAATATCAGTGACGAAGACGAGGCTGGAAAATTCCGAAAGATGACTGAATGTGAAAGCAAGGTGGTAGGTACCCTAATGACGGGGCGCGGTTTCGATGGCGATGGTATCAAGACAATCGTACTGGATGGAAGCGCACCGTACGAAATGGGTCAAATTGTCAACAGTATCTTGACGGTTGACGATCACCGAGATCATTTGATAAATGAGCATCACTACATCATATCCTTATCGAACAAACCGCGTTCTGAACAATGGAGGGCGAGCATGCTGGAGCGCCATCGCAAACTCATACTTTATGATCCAGTCAAGACAGTGAAGTACGATATTACTGCCGACGGAATCTCCATTGAACTTTGTATGTTGGTTTACGATAATGACAAGACGGGCTTCAAAACGTTCAGATCATTGGAAGATAATATCACCAAAGCCCTCGCGAGTAACGGTGTGGACGCCACTGCTGAAGTAACGGCCGTAACGGGTGGATTGTTCCGGTTCCAGCATAACTTCAATCCCCGAACCTTTGTTCAAGAAGACTATCCCGAAATTCCCGGCAAAGTACAGTGGGATCATCAGGAGTCGTTTGGTCGAAAGACGGTTGTTCAGTACGAAAAGAAAGAGTTTGCACAAGACTTTTTTGATGCTGAAGGTTTCGTTGGCCTCGTCGATTCTATTATTGGAGGAGACGGAAAAGATCTCTATGACCTGCAAACCTACACCGATGTGGGTGATGGACTTGTGATCATTGCGGACTCCACGGCAGGCAGCGTAATTTTGGTGTGGGATGGTAAGGAACATGTCGATCTCAACTTTTTCCTGCACGACGATACCGAATTCGAAATCAAGGAACATCTTGAAGAATTCGAGAAGCTTACCAAACTTCAGATGGCGATGACTCTTCGTGACGATTTTCCTCGAGGAACCGGTCGTGTCATGAACTTCCGGGCAGATATGATTTACCATGGTGTCAACTCGGTGGTAGATCCCGAGCCATATGTTGACATGTCAGACGATGAGTAAAACATTGACGAAAAAGGGCTATCATGCGATGATCCGGTGGATTTTGTATTCGAACGTCTTGACCGCGCCCACCGATCATGGATCATCGGCGGATGCAATGATCCAACTGAAAATACAACGTATCTAGATACGTCGACACCGATTGCAGTGTGCCGTGCTGCGCATGCTACTATTAGGGGAATCCAAGGTCTAAAGCTCTTCGCATCGGATAGGTTGAAGCTATTTTCATTTCATAAGGGTAAAAAATGTGTTTTTCGTTCACCGTACATTTATGGCATTCCTTTCTGTTATGAAAGCTTGTTAGGGGCAAGCTTAGAATGTAGATATCTAGTGTAGGGTATGAGGACCCAGGAATCAACAGCTCCAGTGTGTGACTGGTTACTAGTATTGTATTGCACAGAGCGGTATGAAAGATGCGCATTGATGGCTCGAAAATAGATCATGTGACTACATGTGACAGGGTACGTATGGAAGCAAGGCATTGTACTCTCGTATGGTAATATTGAATTATTGCTTCTGTAATTTTTTGTGATCGTGTCGTTCTGGTCTCGTCTTCCAGTAAGTGCCACGTTACAAGAAGTGCTCCAGCCTGAACTCGTGGGTAGCCTGTGTACAAGTACGTACGCCGTAGAAGACTATCCGGTACCATAATCCGACGGTGGGATGATACGTAAAAAGTGCAAAGACCATCCGTACTTCATCAATGGCACATACACGCACGGGACCAATGCCGGAATCTTGTGAACGATTAGGACGATCAACGCCCTCTCTTCCGAGAAGGTGCGCGTTCGTTCTCAACATGAAAGTCCTTAGTACGAGTTCCCACTTTTTTGTGCATGAGTACGCTACGAGTCCAATACATGTAAGAGTACATACGTACTCTTACGTACCGATACTCCATCCAATGCTCCTCTTTCGCACGGCTCAAGAAATGATGGAAGGTTTCCAGTACAAAAGTACCGTACGTAGGGTTCTCGTACCAGATGCCAGTATCACCTATCGAACGTTAGATTTTCGTGTCCGGTCTGAACCAAACACAGCAGTGATTTTTGCAATAGATTTTCTTGACCGTTTCCCGCAGTTGCTTCATCGAAGGGAAACGACGAATGACCGAATTTGAAGATCTTTGCGAAGGGGAAATCAAGTTGAACACAAATTGCCACACTGTACGCGAAGAAAAAATTCGAGCCAGCCATGAAGTTTAGCAGTTTGGCATCCTTGGCCTTGGGGGCAACGGCATCCTTGGCGATGGCAGAATCTGCGGAAAAGGATACCCACCTGTTGGAGGCCCAGGCCATCTTCGACTGGGTTTCGGAAACCCCCGATGGATTTATTACACCCAAACTAGAATTGCGCCGCGAGATCCCGGGAGATGCCTCCACCCCGATGGGCGTCTACGCCACCGATACGATCGAAGCCGGGGAGGATATCATCAAGGTTCCATGGAGCGTGATCCTCGAGCCTGACGACCAACGCGAGCCTCCCTCCCAAATGGTCTGCGGAACCGTCCGAACCGTGGCCAGGGAGATGCGCCTGGGCACCAATTCGAAGTACGCACCCTACGTCGAGTATCTCAAGAGCGAGGCAGACGCACAGATTCCCTCGGCCTGGTCCGAAGCCGGCAAGGCATTTCTGCGCGAAATCCTGGACAACGATACCATTCCGCCCGTGGACCCCACCCACTGGATCGAAGACGAGTGGTTCAAGAGGTGCCGCGGGGATCCAAACGACGAAATCGGGGTCAAGGCCGCTCTGATGGTCATCCAGCGAGCGGACGACGCCATCATGATTCCGGCCTACGACAACCTGAACCACCGAAACGGAAACTGGACCAACACCAACACGGAAATCGACGAATTCCACCACACAACGGCCACCAAGACCATTCCCCCCGGGGCCCAGATCTATATTTCCTACAACATGTGCGAAGAATGCGGTGGTCGCAGCAAGGGGTATGGTACCGCTGGTAAGTTTCTCAAAATAATGCGTGGAAACTGACCTGCGTCGGAACCATTGTGAAATGTATGATTTGTTCGCACCATTTGTGTCTTGCTCCGTGTACGTACTTTTCTGTCGAAGCCTCATACCCGTGGGGTTACTGTTGTTTCATCGCTATTGTCTGCTTTAGAAATCCTGCGCGATTACGGCTTTGTCGAATATTACCCACAAAGATGGCATTACATGGAAGAAGATTTCCAGTTCGACGTCGACGAAGCCGAAGACGGAAAATTGATTGTCACGTGGGACAAAGAAGAACGACCCGATGTTGGGGACGGAAAACTCATGGAACAAACCCGTGTTTGGTTCCGTTGGGAAATCCGGCGATTGAAGCGCATCAAAAACATCGAATGGGCCATTGGCTTCGAAGGCAAGGACCACGGAATTCCGGACTACGAGAAAGAAACCATCTTCAAGTTTCTCGATGCCAACATCATCGCTATGACGGCGGCCTTGGAAAGTTTGGGACCATCGCCTCCCCCGGGTACGGTCACCACCACCAAGGCGGATTCTCATGGAGGAGTAGAAGAAGAGGAAGAGGAAGAAGAGGAGGACGACCCAGAAACCTGCAAGGCGGACGAAGATTTTGGCGGGTGCATGGCTCCCATCGATATAGCCCCCCTTTTGGAAAATTCAACCCATTACGACAATTTGGAATGGGAGTTCGACGATTTGGATTATCAATACCCAACCTGCAACAATAAGCACCTTATGAGGTTCGCCGACTTTGATGATCTTGAATTTATCAAGACCAACTACCAGGATTTGAACTTTATGAGAAAGGAGAGTACCGATGACACTTGCATGGATCTCGACAATATTGTACAGATCTGCTCTAACTACCGTCCTCAATACCACGAGTTTTCAGCACACGCTGCTGGTCGATTCGTCAAGGACGTCAAGCGTGTCATCTTCATTGGAGGAGGAGATTCTATGCTTTTGTACGAAGCCCTCAAATATCCCGACCTGGAGCTTGTGGTCGGTCTGGAGATTGATCAGACCGTTGTTCGCAAGTCGTTCAAATACTTCCACACCAGCCCGTACTTCGAAGACGACCGAGTCGAATGGTGGTTTGGCGATGCCACTAAGAGTTTGCTTCTGTTGCCCGAAGACTACTGGGGATCCTTCGATTTGGTTTTGGTGGATTTGTCGGAAACCGTCATGTCGTTCTCCGTCACCGCGGAACTCGACGTATTTGATGCGTTGTCCCTGTTGCTGAACCCCCACGGCGTCATGGTGAAAAACGAGCACTACCACGAAAAATTCGCTGCCCTGTTTGATTACAGCGCAGAACTCAACTACGAGAGCCCGGTGATCTGCAATCAAGTCATGGTTTTTGGAAGCAACAACGTAGACTTTTTCCGGGCTCCCGTGTACGACCACGGTGTCAAGACGGAACTCTACGAAAGCATGTCCACACCCGAAACTCGCTATGAGCTCTTGCACGGGTACCGAAAGAACATTGCTCCTGAAGAAAAGTGCAACCTTCTTATCCCGGAAGAAAAGACCACGCAAGGCACAGCCGCTGGAATTGTGGAAGTGATGAATGCCGAAAACTGTTCCGTGGAACTCAACGAAAGCATCACGGATACGATGAAAATGGTTGCAGAAAAAGAGGGTTTCACGCTTATTTCGGAACCCGTTTTTGACAACGGTGTTGGTATTGTTGTCTTGAAGGAAGGTTTCATTAGCGCTCGAATCGTGCCAGACGAGAAATACGTTGGATTCGATGTCAATCTTTGGGGAATGTCCTCCAAGATCAAGAGTCTTCGCAGGGCTCTTTCAGAAGCCGTAGGCAGCACCGATGTATCTGCTTACAAGGTTGTTGTCGGTGGAATGTACGGTTCCAGCTCGTGGAAAGAAGATCAAAAAATCCAGGGCCCCAAGATGAAGCAGTTGCGAAATTGTGAGGAGGATGTTGTCAAAGAAGGAAAACTAGATGCGAAAGCTGCAAGTGCTATTGCAATCGAAGAAACAATCCCACTTACTCTCAGTAAGGCCAAGGGTATCACTGCTGTTGCTGTTTGCGGAAAAGAAGGCGAGGAATGCGTCGCCTATGATGTTTTGAAAGAGGAAAAAAGTGTCAAGAGTCTCACTCCCATATATGAGTGCTCGAACAACGGGGATTTCGAATGTGAAACCAAGGTTTTGGAGATTTTGGCACGCGAGGTCTTGGCAAAACGAAATGGAGGAATCCATCTTCTTGTGATGGACGGATCGGCTTCCTACGGAATGCATCAAATTATTAGCAGTATTTTGGGCGAGAATGAAACCCGACGTTCATTGTTAGAAATGCACAATATTGTCGCTACCTGGATGACTGACTCTGCTAACGAAAGTTTCCGAAGAGAATTCCTCGATCGCTACCGTAAGCAAGTTCATATTGACCCTGCCTCTCGTGCCGAAATTGTTTTTCAGGCAGGAGGCAAGAGCTACGAATACGGCGTTGTCTCGTCGCACAACGAAAGGGCACCTTATGACTACGAGAAGATGGAAAGCCGTATCAAAGAACGACTTTCAACGTCTGGCGTCAAGGTTGAGTTGAGAAATATCCACGGTGCTCTGTTCAGGTACAATCATGAATGGGACCCTAAGACGTTTAAACACGAAGACTACGACAGCAAACCGGGACGCGAGCAATTCAAGAACCAGAAGCCGCTAGGTCGCCAGAACATTTATCAGTTCGTGAAGGCTGATGGTGTCGAGGAAGATTTGGATTTGAGCATGGCGAAGATTCAAACTTACCTATCCGAAACTTTGAAGGTTGTCGATTTGGAGCCGAGCTTGAGCAAACAATACGAAGATGTCGGTGACGGTGGCGTTATCTTGGCTTTGTCACCCAATGGTTACGTGACTCTTGTTTGGGACGGTCGTGAACATATTAGTGTCAACCTTTTCACCAACGACGAAGGTGTCGGTGTACCCGAGAAGTTTGTTGGACGATTTTTGAACTCTTCTGGTCAAAAGTTGAAGGTTGGTCTACGTGATGATCAACCAAGAGGTATCAATCATGTTATTAACTTCCCAAGCGACATGGTTCCTCGAAACTCACATACTGGAGCCAGAAAGAAAACCGCGGGCAGAGAACCTCGAAAGATGAGAAGACTTCCCGACGGAACATTCGAGCCATGGGACCCTCAGTAAAACGTACTAGAAATGCATAAACGAATAACAATAAAATAGAAAAAAGTTCATCTTGCACAGAATGATCTGATTAGGATAATTTTCAAATTGTTTTTTACTCGTGCACTAGAAGATACACGATGTTGGCCAGTTTTGCCATGACCTTGAAGAAGGACGCTCCTAGACACTCTGAAAAGCGCTTGCAATTACTCAAAGAATCGTGAAGGAGGTGAACAAATCATCCTGAATGTTTAAGTATTTCGACGAAATAGTTTCTTCACGGCACTCAGCATGCTAAGAGGACTGGAGTTGTGGCTTCTTATGTACAAATTGCTTGACCCAAATCACATATCACTGTCGTATGTGGCTCAAGTGTGGCATAGCATTGATTTTCAAAAATTTGTTCTATTGCAATTATACAGTATTAATGGCTCGAGCTGTCCTATTCAATCTTCGGACTTGAAGTCTTAGTTGATGTGACATTGACGTTCGAAGATGGTAAGCTTCGTCTTCTTCTCGGCCTTCACGGGTGTGAATCCAGCATAATTCGTCTTGGCGGCTACCTTCTTCACAGGGGCCTTCTTGGCGACTGCCTTCTTGGCGACTGCCTTCTTGGCAACAATTTTCTTTACAGGAGCCTTCTTCGCTGGGGCGGCCTTCTTCTCGGCGGCAGGCTTAGCGAACTTCGCAAAAGGGTTGCTGACCTTCTTAGTTTCGGCTGCAACGGCGGCTCCAGCCTCTTCGCTGGGCTTTTGGAAGAAGAAAGCGTTGAGTTCCGTGTTCGCGGCAACACGAGGTTGTGCGACAGGGGCGAAACCTTGAACCGAAACAACGGCGAGGACAACGAAGAGAGTAGCGATTTTCGAGTACATGATTTTATCGTTTTCGAAACAGTTCAAGATTTGTATTGTGACCATTGCGTGGAGTCGATGCAATGGATACCATTACGTGATTTTCATCCCTCCATCCGCTACTCGAGAATATTTCTGTAGGGTTGGAGACCCACCAACTCGAATTATTTCGTAAGCACGTGCAACAGATCAGTTGCCACTTAAGTTGTCGTACCAAAGACGTACGAAATTTGGCTTATTCACTTTGCCATAGTCAGCATCGGCATCTCTCTCGAAGTGTAAGCGTATGACTCGTGGCCAGAACGGCAAAGCTTCCGAAATTCGAAGTTTTTCCGGACTTCGTGATAGCAAAGTTACGTACCGTACAGTATCTTCTTGTGATCGATTTCATTGTTTTCTGCTTCTATGATCGTGAGTCACACTTTTGATAGATCTGACGCATCACTGATCTTCTGGGATTCTTCGGTTCGAGTTCGACAACGATTAATCGAATGAGTCGAATAAAACATCTCATTACACCTCTCAGTAAGATAAGAATTGGCTAACGCAAGTACGAGTTTAATCGGAGTAAAATTACACCTAGAATTAACGCAGGAATTTTGGCCCACTACTACTGTAACTTCGGCACACTAGTTCTAAGCCGCCAGTGCAAGCATCCTTAAGCATCCCAATGACCTGCATCACTAAGTAATTGTATCATCTTGGTCTGGGCGCTTAGTCTGGTGGTCTTAAGTTGTTTTTTGATAGAGTTCTGGCCTATTTTCTAACCAGCAGGCGGTCTTGTAAACCGGCCAATTTTGGCCATACCGGCTGTTAATGGTGAATCGCCTCCCCCCAGGCCCCTAATCGTGTAACAATGACACACAGCACTCTTCTTAACACTATGACCAAGCATATCCCCAAAGGAGATCTCATTTGAGCCGGTTCTTCAGCACTTTYAATGGCCTCACAAAACACTGTTTTGATCAACTTCAAAGCAACCGATTATTAAGCAACCGACCGAAAAACCGAGGTACGTAGCCTATGTAGAATCAGTACCGCGGTACTAAATCTACGTACGTATCTTACGTATGTACAATTAGTACCGCGGTACTAAATCTACGTACGTACGTAGGATTACTACCGCGGTACTAAATCTACGTAGGACGTACGCGAAAAAGAGCATTCAGCAGTACGAATCCCCTTTAGGCTGTTTTTTTACTCTTTTCAGTACTAATTCTTTGATTCCTATTCAACATACCTTTATTGTTGTTTAGTTTAAAGCAAAATCATGGCTCCTGCTCATAGCAAAATTGCTAGTACTAAGCGTACTAGTACCCGTTTGAGTACAAAAAAGAAGATTGCTTCACGTACTAGTACTACTACTAGTAGTACTAGTAGTACCTCCACTGTGATTCCATGTCTCTCACCTGATGAGGAACTCAAACGCAAGGTGGAATTAGCTGCAGATCTCATTGTTAATCCACGTGTCCTTACTGTTGCACAAGCTATGAAGGCTGTTGATTTTGAAAAGTTCGAAGCTCATAAAGCCTCAATGCAAATGAGGGTCCGAAGACTCGTAACCAAAATGAGAGAGGAAAAGGCTGAACAAGCTGAGGCTAAAGAAGTTCCTCCTTACACTCCTTCTGTTGGAAAGCGCGATGTTCTTGCCACAGGAGAAGTTACTACACCCTGTGAAACACGTGCAGTTTTGAAAGTTACACCAGGTGCAACTCCCATGACTGGTACTGCTTCTGGTGGTTGTGGTACTACTAGTAGTACTACTCCTGAAAACAGTGATTCCAAGTTGAAAGGCCTTGAGGACACCAGAGATAGTGCCAGAGCTGCTCAAGTTGAACKGGTCAACAAGAAAATTAGGCTTGAAAATATAGCCCGCGCCCACATTAAAGCAACCACCMTGTATCAGGAAGCAAAAAATGATCCCGAAGGAAAGGGAAGAAGTGCAGCTTCCATTGTCAAAGCTGTAAATTCTGAATATGGTACTGACCTTAACCACAGAACAGTGTTGAGGTATGTTAGGGAGGGCAATGCTGGCATTGCACCTGCCAGAAAGGGACCTCGGCCAGGCAATATTTCTCCTGAATCAATGGATTTGGTTGTCACTGCATTTGAGACATTTGTTCAGCTTTGCCAAGCCAATGGAGATGCCCCAGGGACTGATCGTGCACCTCTTATTCGCCGACTCAATGCCACAATTGGGTTGCCACCATCATCAGTGCAGTCCAGTTTTTATTACTCTGTAGTAAATAGGACCACCATAAATCTGAAGGCACATGTGTTGAACCGAGTTGAAGAGAGAAGAGCCCGTTGGACCACCAGAGCAAACTTGAAACTGTGGTTCAAAAATTGGAAAACTGACCTGGTTGAACTTGGATTTGCATCAAAAGGTGGAGAATATGGAATTCAGATTGCAGAAGAACAGACAAGAAGAATCATAAACCTTGATGAATCATGTTTGTCCTTGGATGGATCCAATGGGCGGAGGGGAGGACGGCCGTCAGTCAGTTTAATAGATCCAAATATTCCTTCAATTGGTCGTCGTGTCACCAAGTCCTCTGTTACCATAACTTTCATTGCTGGTAGCAATGCATATGGCGAACCCCTCCCACCTCACTTTCAATTTGGAACCAGAGCCAAAACTGAAGAACGAATGAAACTGAAGATGGAAACAATAGCATATTGTAAAAAGGTTAGAGCTTCATATGGATTCCATGGTTGGTCAGGTGAAGACAACTGTTCAACATTTCCTGTSACAGTGGGTATGAATGACAAAGGCGGAATGGATGATGCYRAWTTTTCAAAGTATCTCTTCAATAGTATCRTACYTTTRTATCCAGATGCTGAAGATTYRAATGGAAAGAGAGTRATGATCAAAATTGACTCAGGTCCTGGGAGGTTAAATGTTGACATGCTAGTCAAGCTGYGGGCCCATGGCTTCATCTTGTATCCATGTGTTCCCAACACCACTGCTGTTTCACAAGAGACAGATGTTTCATATGGCATTTTCAAAAGCAAGTTCAGAAGTAATCTCAAAAAGCTSACYGATGATYGTTTGAAGAAAAAGCAAAMAGTGTCCTTCACACCTTCCATTGTAGGGCTTTTAGTGTTTGGTGGCACTGATAGGGTCAGTGGGTGCAGTGGATATGTTGACAGTTTTGCAGCTGCTTTCTCCAGAGAGAA